TCTCTTTAGTGCCCTAAACTTTGCATTCTTTTCAAAAGCTCTTTGCCTTGAAGCCGTGTTCTTACTAGAATCAAGTTGAAATTCTTGACCACACAAAAGGATTTTAAACGAGTGCGCGATCACGTAGAAGTTGAACTTTTCTTCCTCTAGGTGTGCCGGTTTCGAGAAGTGTTTGGCAAAGTCTTATTCGTATAGCGCTAATACAAACAGGCTCGATGAGTTACATCTTGAGAGGCATAGTTCGTGAAGCTGTTTAGCTCTGTTAACAGGAACTAATCGTCTTAAGGAGATTCGGTTAGTCATACCTCACTTCCTATGTAATTATATTGTGCAAATTCAAATTTGTTTTGTAATTGTATCCTCTTTTACTCATTGACTTGGTCATTATTAAAAAGTTGTTATCGCTTTCTCAGAGTTATCATTTCTGGTTACAACAAACAATATTGCATATCTTTCCTACAATACGTTTTAGTCACAACACTTTGGAAGTACTAATACTTATCATAAAAGTGTAATTAAGTCCTAAAACTTGTCAAATTTATGCAATCGAGTCCTCCCGTTTACTCCATCCAATTTGGCTAATGAAAAATGCTGATATGACTTTTTTTAATATTTTCTCTCTCATACATGACAATGACACGGCACATGTGATGTCCTTATTTTCTTCTACTCATAATAATTTAAATATATAAGTTTTAGGACTCAATTGTATTTTGTGGTAAATTTTTAGATTTCCAGTGCACTTATCCATTGCATATTTGCACAAGATATCCAAGAATTCTCTTTTTGATACATTGTCATGGTTAATGAGATACTTATCAACTTTTACCAAAAATTAAAGGTAGACGTTAACTGGTTACCAAAAAAAATGGATGATTCCATAAAAAAGGAAACTAAAATATATAGAATTCGAAGATAATCTTGAGAAAATCACCTTTGAAAATCTACAAATAGAGAGGAGCAACTAGAAGAGAGAGAGAGAGAGAGAGAGAGAGAGAGAGAGAGAGAGAGAGAGAGAGAGAGAGAGTTTTGACAAAAAAAAGAAAACTGGAAGAGAGAAAGAAAAACCAGTTAATTTACTCTCAAGAATGTTACACACAAATTACTTTCTCTTCTTTTCATACCAAGTCGATGGTACCGAGATTATGATTTTGACAAAATGGAGAACTTCATGTTTCTTATTGATTCATATAATTATTTTATGTGCTCAAAATATTGCAATTTTATGTCTTATGTTTTATTTAAAAAAGAGGATAAACCTATATGATGGGGTCTGCATCCATTTTAAATAAAAATCTAAGTAAACTTAGCAAAGAATTTGATCGATTAAATATTTAATTTGTTGTAGCTTTCTGCAATTGTTATATTATATTTCTCTTGCAAAAATTCACGTTGACACAACATTAAAAATAATATAACAAATATGGTTTTAGATCTGTACAGCACACGAGCATCTTGCTAAATATATATACACACACATACATATATAAAACCTACATATTTAAGTAGATAATTTTTATTTATTAGAAACTAAGTTGTGAGACACCATATATATACTAATAATGGGGAAATTGTTTAGCCAGTCCTAAATCCATCGTATGGATGCCAATTCAATCTTAAACTTTCAAATTTTTCCAATTTAGTTCTAACCTTTTGCACGAAATTCAATCTGGTCCTTTGCACCCATCAGCATCTTCACTCGGTCTCATTCATTCAAACCACAACTTAATGTGAATAAAGCCGTGAAATTTGTGATGGAATGCATCAACGATCGAGATTCATCGAGACACCAATGATAATACCGTGTGGGGGAGACAATCTTCTTCCCTCAAATCTAAGGAAAATCGAATCTCTATATCTATATAGGGAGGATGCACTAATACAAGGAAGCTCTACTTTGAAATTCATTCTCTCAATGTCCGCAAGACCCAACTAATCAAATTGCAAATTAAAGATCACCGGAGATCCACATCCGAAAATAATAACCACCCTTTGTCACTCCTATATGTGTGAGGTCTCCATTCCATCAATTCAACACAATTTGCCTAGAGATTCACCACTCAATAAACTAACATCCACACTACCTGTTCCTATGCAACCAAGAAGCATAATATAGCTCGTTGACGAAGATTAAGAGGGACATGCAGAGAAAGAACAAAGTAAAACCCCATCACTTCTTTAATAACATATACTTTTGCAGAGACCATAAAAAGTTCTTCTCTCTTCATCGAGCTTGCAACACTTTGGTCACCTTGGCATGTGCAAACCCCTTTCAACGCCGTGGTCCGCCATCTACACACAGTCCCCGAACATCCGCCGTATCTTCAGTGTCTCCACTAAAAGATTAAGGACCCTAACCCCAAAGTTTAATCTAACATTAAATGCCCAAAACAAGCCCCTAATCCATACACACACACACACACACAAAAAGATGATCCCCACGTGGAACAAGCGTGGGTCCACAACTACCCAACATTTGGTGCCACTTGCGTAGCTTTGTAGGAGCCTGTCTTCCAATCCCCGGTCTCTCATTTGTCACGACATCCTAATATATTCCAACTCACCAGATTGCGCTGGCAAAGACCACCCTTCTTGCAATATCCGTGTCCTCATTCAGCGTGATCAACACATATCAAATTCGCTAATTTTATAATTTTGGCTTTCCTTTTGGCTTTTTGGGATTCTCGATGGGTGTTGAAGGAAGGTCTTTTAAGAGTGGAGAGCAGTTCCTCGGTTCAATATATGTTTATTACTGTAGCAGTGTCTTCTAATGAGCTTAGATTAGTCAAATGCGCCCTTTGTTTGTTGTTGGTGCTAACACCCATTTGGAGAAATGTCAGAGTCATCATGTTATGGAGATTGAAATTGATTTAGCGAGCATAGGCAATGCAGGACACCAAGAGGTCAATGAACTTGTGTATCTCAGCTTGATCCGGCTCCACTGTCCTTTCCGTCCAGCCCCCCTAACTTAGCCCAACATTCTTTACTTTGTCAAAGATTTGTGTCCCAAGCCAACCTTCTTTCCCACACGACAGTGCTTCGTGTTCCCACTTCAAGGTTTGGTAGCTGAAGAGTTGTTTAACGTGTGTTGTGATTATACTTGACCTAGAGATCACAAGAAAAATGAGGAGAAGGGATCCTTTCGCAAAAGCAATCAAAATTAGGGGGCTCCTAAATTCCATCAATGAAACTGTCATTATCAAAATGCTGAATGAAACTTGGTACGTGCAGATACTTTTGGCAATGGACAAATGCAAATATGCAAAAGTGATATCCTCAAGTAGATGCTATAAGAAACGATAAGATAACCACGATGACTTCTGCCCTTACACTTCTTTCCTTTGTTATTTTTATAATCCTTCACTTTCTTTCCTCCGGCTTTCCTCTTAAACTGGACCTTCACAGTTCTCAGTTTCTCCCCCATTAGGCCATGAGCGCCGTTTGAGAATTTCTGTTTGGATAATGGGCCAGTTGAATGGTCAACTGTCACGCTCACATTCTAGTTGAGCAAATCAACTGCCCATTCCCATCTTGTAGCGCAAAAGATTGTGGAGCGGTGGACTAGACTGACGTGTTTCCCTAAGCCCACCAAATGCTACATGTTCATAATCGTTCTGACCTGGCCCCTCGCTCAAAAAGGCTCTTTGGTAATCAGATGAGTAACCATTAATCTTAACTGTACAAACGTGTTCAATATATCTCGATTTTTAGCCAAAATTCAAGCACAGATCAGAGCCAGTCGAAAGATAAATCCAAAAATGAGGCCGAGGAGTGTCCATGTATAGAGGGAGCCGGGTCGGGCGCCCTAGCCTCGGTGGTTGGCCGCTCGACCAAGGGTCTGGAAAACCGGTCCATATTGGCCAACCACCCGAACCTCCAGGCAGGTGCTCAAGAGTCGCTGAAATTTCGTGATCGGAGTGCTTTTCGAGCCTATTTATGACCCCTATGTTGTGGTTATATTTTCCTTCTCTATAGATTGGCAAAGTACCTCTGATCGATGGTTATATATTTTGAACATCACACAAATGCAAACCTAATCAAACATAGATATGAGCGATGCACTACTTAACTATAACCGACCAATCAGAATACTGCAGTGAAAGTTTCCTCCGATCAAAGTGGAGAAGAATACGAGCCTTTCGTTATTACAAATTTCTTACAGAACGTTCAAATCGAACTATAATTACTCTATCTACTTGAGACTTCAATGTTAGATATGGATGAGCCTCTCTTAATAATCATCCCCTCTATCAAGCGTCGATCATTCAGCCCCATCCCTCTCCTGCTTCCTCCTCTCAACCGTGTCTCTTGGCATCTCGACGGTGACAATAATTGCGTGGTGGGTGCTGTGGTTGGCGGTAGAGAAAGCGGCAATGGTGGAGCAGATCACAAGTGACGAGGTTCAATTGGGAGAAACTAATAGCGACGAAATGTCAAAGGAGATTGACAATGTGAACGGTCATGATGGTCAATTGAGTCTGGTTGAGGAGGAGGAGGAGCAGCAGTGAGCAGTGATCTCCATTTTAGGTAATCGAACCGCACCATAGTCGTCTCTTGCGAACATGAGCGAGTTGAGAACGATTGACAATTCCTGAGTGGATCAATTGGAAAGCAGAGAGATTGTCAAGAATTGTGGGTTCCTCCAACCTCACTCCATCTTTGGAAGATAACAAAAGATTGTTATTTTATTTCTAAATTTTTTTTATCCAATCCGGGTCTACCCCATCTTTATATCGAATTTCTTATCCGGCAATTTATCCAGATATATTCTGGTTTATCCGGTCTGGATGACATCGCCAAGCACCAAATACGATAATTCGTTATCTTATCTCAATTTAAGCCGAACCGAGCCGAATTGATCGTACGGTCGCTCATGATATTAACTCGAGCCTGTGATCATTTTCTAAGATTGGTGGGCTACCCCGCCCCGCGACATGTCTCATCGGCCGTGATGAAGACACGTGGCCAGATCACGAGGGGCTAAATGAACCTCTCCCTTCAAGAACCTTCGCATCCGGAGAGCATCAAGCAACGAACCTACCCAGGCGTCGCGACAACGCGTCGCACCCTATAAAACCCGCCCTCCGTCGCCACTCCGCGATGGCCGCTTCCTCCGTCCGCTGCAGAGCGTCGTCGTCGGTGCTCTCCTCCGCCGCCGCCGCCGCCGCACGGCGGGGCCTTCCCTTCGTCGGCGCGTTCTGCGTGCTCAGCTTGGGGTTCTCCACCGCCGCCCTCTCGTTCTCCTCCTCTTCCTCCTCCTCCCTCAGGACGGGTTGCGCTCAGTCCCTCCCCTTCGTCCCTCTCCTGAGGTCAGGATTTCTGGGTTTTCTTCGCTTCCGGTTTTCGATCCGCTCGGGTTTTTTTCGCATTGGATTGATGGGAGGCGAAGCTTGCGTTTGCAGATCGAAGTTTCGAGCACCGTTTAGAGGCGTGCATTCGGCTAAGATGGAGGGGAGTCAGGGGAGCGGCAACACGGTGCCGAGTATCGTCGTTTACGTCACGGTTCCGAACAAGGAAGCAGGTTGGTTTCGGTGTGTTTTTTGTCTCTTCGGAATCGGAGTGATTCTGGATGTTTCGTCGGAGATTTCGTGGGGATTGGCGTGTTAGCTTCTGTAAGGTTGGATCGTCCATCGATGATTTGGTAGAAATGCATTTGATATTTTGGATGCTTTGTAGGGTTTTATGAGTTCTTGGTTTTTGTGTGGTTGGGACTTGGGAATTTGTTCTGGGGATAGGGAACCGCCGATTAGGATGATGCTTGACTTCAGTAGCTGTGAACAGTGCATACAGCAGGGCTCTTATTAGCTCCACAAATATAATTTGGAGTCCTGGACTAGTGCCTGGAACCGGGACGACGCGAAAACGGGGCATCGCGAAACACGAAATGCCGAGAGAAAATCGGAATATTGCGCTACATTATCATGCATGCTTAATCCTAGCATCTAGAATCGATTGTTTATTTTGCGGTCCCTCAATTTGCTCGTGGGTTCGCATCCTCGCGACGATGATGCGGAGCTCCTTCTGTTTTCAAGTGTTTGCAGTTCCTAACTGCATTTGCGTTTTGTGTTTTTATGCAGGAAAGAAGTTGGCTGAGAGCATAATCAAAGAAAGGCTCGCGGCATGCGTGAATATAGTACCGGGTATTGATTTGATTTGCTCTGTTTGAGATTATGCAAGTAAAGAGATCACTTACCATTCTTTGAGACGATTTAAACTGTGAAAGTAAAGCTATTTCAGATGCTTTGTGGCCCTAAGACTCTAGTTACGCGAGTTAGAACCAGTCATTGGTGCTAAATAGCTGCAAATGGCATTGCATTTATACTGTTCTAGCATCGAAGCACTCACTACGAACAACCAGTTTGGCCTAGAACTGTAGTGTACCCACCGATTCCTCTTCTTCTTGCTAGATAATCTTTTTAAATTTTTGTATGGGTTTGTTTTCCTTGAGCTTTGGACCAAGTTTGCCGTTAGTCTCTTATCAAACTTGTGCTAAGTCTGTTTTTGCTGTTGGGTTTGGATGCTTAACTTGACCAAAGAGACTTTGCATGTGTCAATGCAGGTATCCAATCAATTTACCATTGGCAAGGAAAGGTATGGAAGTGAAGATCCAATCATTGAAAATCAATTTCATTCGTACTAGGTTAGGAGCTATTGTGCTTGGCCAATAGCTCAGTAGAAAGTTATGCTTGTAAATATGTGTTGGTCCAATGAGATTCTTACAAGTGGTTGATGCACGCTCAGTTAGGAGGATTCAATCTTAGCTTGTCTTTGATTTTGCCACTCAATTGCAGATTGAGACAGATTCCGAGGAACTGCTAATAATCAAGACAAGAGAATCACTGCTAGAGCCTCTGACCCAGCATGTCAAGGCAAACCACGAATACGAGTAAGATTCAAGCACCAGCCTTCTCCTCCCAGTTGCACACTTGCATGTCTTTAGCTAAGAGATGCAAAGAAATATAGTTTTCTCGGGAGTAAGAGTTTCGGCACATAAACTGAAAGGCAGGGCTTGGCTAGGCGAAAGATTTTTAGTTAATCTTTTCGATGTTAATGTTTTGCAGTATTCCAGAAGTGATTGGCTTGCCCATCCTGGGTGGCAATGTTCAATACCTGGAATGGATCAAGAACAGCACCAGAGACTAAGTTTTAAGGTGGGGGAGGCATTCTGGCTGCATCAGTTTGCTTTTGATTTTCCATGTGTATACTCTCTCTCTCGTGACTTTCTCTGAATTACTATGGGCATGTGTTTACCAAGCTTTGCTATATGTTTGCAATCTGATGAGTTGTGAATAGACTTTGGGGCACACCCTATGAAATTAACATGCATTGCTACCTAATAATGCCTGGCCTTATTGCAATTTTGGTATTACTTTTATATTCGATGATGCCCGCGGTGTTCAGCCTTTTTATTTTCCATTTTAACTTTTGCATGCGGAGAGCATCAACTAGAGTAATCATGAAATAAGTGAAAGTACTATCAAAGATTAACCAGAAATCAGCGTACAAAGCGGGAACAACAAATTTCTACCATTTTGAAGTTAAGGTTATTGAGCTTTTGTCGAGAGTGATTGTTACGATCAGAAAACATAATTAGACCTTGAATGCTTGAAGTCAACAACCACCACCCATCCACACCACACTAGTCGCGGACTTAAACTGGCCTCGTCGCGAACAGAAAGGCGTTCTCATGGCTGCTTGCCTGTCGCATAGAAAGTGGCAAATAATTCGATCTCCCGAAGGCATCCTGAAGAACTGTCTTTTAATGCAAACCTAGCTTGAGGGCTTTGAGATGCCTCTTCGCATTTAACTTTACCTGAGGGAAGAGAACTAATCGCACTTGGACTACAGCAGTAGGAGATAGAGATGATCTTTCAATCGAGTGAAAACCAACTAAAAGTAGTGAGAAGCACGTTAACAAGCCCAAGAGAGAGTTTTCCAATTCATTTTGGAAACAGGAAAAGGATTTAATAATCTAAAAATAAAAAAAAGATAAAACATGTCACTGATGCACACTTTAAATCGGTACCGACAAATGACATTCACAGCCCACCTCCTCCCAGAACAAAGTTACAAGTTTCCGTTGAGCTCACAACATCTTCTAGGGCTCATCCAGTTGGTCCTGCAACATTGACAGAGTAGAATTTCATTAAGCAAATTGTCCCTAGTAAATCAGAAACAAGACCATAGAGAAAGGGAAAATGAAGATTTGCTTCATACACCATAAGTTAGCTAGGATAAGAGAAGACAGCGTGTCCTTAGTACCACATGCTATGGTACCCCAGGTCTGTAAAAACTGCACTCATATTCAATGTGCCATAAACAAATGCAACATGTCGTACATTGCTTTTTTGTGGTAAATTTTTGTGAAATTCATGTAATTATTGATAAAAATGCCAATGTTTACATAAATGAACGCATTTAGGAGTGTTTTACAGCCCAATGTACAGTCATGAGTCACCCGAGGTGAAACGGACAACCCCTGGCAGAAGCAAAGCTCAAGAAAAATTATGCAAATCAATGCAAATGTATCTCTTTTCCCTTTTATAAAGAAATAATATGAAAAATTCAAACGGTAGCTTATGATTATGGATGATTATGCAAACAGTATCTCCGACCTGCACATCAGAAGTCCAGAGGGTGAGATTATCCCTCAGCAGCTGCATGATGAGAGTGCTGTCCTTGTATGATTCTTCACCCAAAGTATCCAGCTCGGCAATCGCCTCCTCGAATGCCTGAACAGGAAAACATGTGTGAGCATGCCAATCATACAATAGTTGGGTCAACTGATATCCGATAAGTATATGACTCGGAAAATTTTCTCCGAGATAGGCAAATCAGTTTATGTACTACAAATATAAAACATGTCTGCTTGCCTAAAGTTATACCACAATCTAAGACGGAAAAAAAAAGATGTTTCAATATGCATTGAATCACAGAGGCAGCATGGATGGATAAATGAGGCCAAATTATAATGCCCATATAGCAATGCCGTGCAGTCTAGAATCAATGGTAGAGCAACTTATAATGGGGTATATAGATCTCCAAGCAAAATTTGGCTGGACAGAATGATGATGCCATCAGCTTCTCACAACAGTCAACCAAATGTACACAATACAACCATTTAGGTCCATCGAAACTTCTCTCCGCTATCCAAAGGACAATAGAGCAAGAAATACACTTATCAACTACAACAACTGTTTAACTAACTATTTAGAACAGAGACAAACAATAACATTTAAGATCTAAGTTGACAAAAAGGACAAACAGACCTGTTTGGCCATGCTGCAAGCTTTGTCAGACTGATTGAGGATCTCATAATAGAACACAGAGAAGTTGAGTGCCAGACCCAGCCTTATCGGATGGGTTGAAGCCAGATCCGCTTGAGCGATATCCTAGGATAAACAAACGCACGAAACATTCACAAGGTCAGAAAGAGCAAAATGTGATGTCAAACTAAGCTCCACCGCATATATTTTGAACATCATTCACTCCGCCCTCATAATGCTACAGAAGTCAAAACACACAAACCTGTCATCTTTCCAAATTACTCGCGACCTCGCAAAAAACAAACATACTGAAGAACAATACCAAAAGCTATTGAAGGGAGATCAAAACTATGGATCTCAAACTAACAAAATTAGATCTTACAAGTCACGACTCTTATGATTAACAGATCCCCTGAAATTAAGAGAGCCAAATCCACTCAACAAGTTTCTACTCTCTGTTTAGGCTTTCATCGATTTTTCTTGGCATGCACGCAGATGAGGTTCGACAAACGTGGTTTTTAGTCAACCCAGTAAATAAGTTTATCTTCCAGTCAGCAATGGACCAAAAAACAAAAATAAAAAACTCAAGCGCACCACTACTAGGGCGACTTCATGTAATCTCAATAACCATCCAGAGATCAAATCCGAAACACCAGCTCTTCAACCTAATAGAGTTCGAAATGCTAAAACCCTTAATAATCAATAGACAACCTCAATAAATCTTCAAATCCCCCTGAAATCCTAAAAAGATCGTCAACTCAACCTGACAATTAACAACTCGAATCGGTCAGACATCCAAAACAAGCCATAGTTCACTCTTCTCCTCTATTTTCTCGTAGAACCAAACTAAAGAAAATAGTATGCAAAAACCCTAGGAGAGAGAGAGAGAAGAATTTACCTGAGCCGCCTTGTAAGCGAGCATAGTATCCTCGGCGGCGGCCTTCCTCTCGTCGCCGATCTTGAACTCGGCCAAGTACCGGTGGTAATCCCCCTTCATCTTCAGGTAGAACACCTTGGACTCGCTGGCGGCGGCGGACGGGATCAGGTTGGAGTCGAGGAGGCTGAGTATGCTGGCGCACACGTCGGACAGCTCGTTCTCGACCTTGGATCTGTACTCCTTGACGAGCACGACGTGGTCCTCGTTCTTCCGCCCCTCCTCCTTCTGCTCGATGGAGGAGACGATGCGCCAGGCCGCCCGGAGCGAGCCGATCACGTTCTTGTAGGCCACGGAGAGGAGGTTCCGCTCCTCGACGGTGAGCTCGGCCGCCGGCGTCGAGCCGACGACCAGCTTCTGCATGAACTGGACCATCTCCTCGTACCGCTCCGCCTGCTCCGCGAGCTTCGCCAGGTACACGTACTGGTCCCTGCTCAGGTTCTCCGGCACCGCCATCGCCCGCTCCGGCTCGCCGAGCTGCTCCCGATCAAATCGATCGATCGATCGATCTAGAGAGAGAGAGAGAGAGAGAGGAGGAGGAGGAGGAGGAGGAGGAGGATTTGGGGGTGGTTTGATTTGCAGAGAAAGGATTAGTGAGAGAGTGTGGTGGGAGTTAAAAAGAAAGAGGAGCGGCGGGGGGGGGGCTAGGGGTGATCCGGTGCGGACGGAAGTACGGTGCGAGCGGGGCGGAAGTGGACGGCTGTGGAGGGGAAAACGGGGGACGGCGGACCGTTGGATTGGTTTTCGACGGCCGGTTTTGGATCAGGATTGGTGGGGGTGGGGGCCCGCGTAACAGCTCGGATTCGGATGGCACGGGGATGGTCTTGGCGATTTCTTTTGTATCGTTCTCTTCTTCTTTTTCTTCTTCTTCTCTCTTTCTTTCTTTCTTTTTTTTCTTTCTTTTTCTCTTTGCCCTCCTCCTCGTTATCCTTTAAAAACAACTGTTATTGGTCAATGATTTGAGCTATGATTGATTACGGCGTTTCGCCGGGGGGGTGGGTGGGTCAAGATCAGATGTTGGGCTCTTATTGGGCCCCGAGATTGATGACGCTGGGCCTTGCTGGTAAAAGTTATTTTGGAAAGTTGGAGGAATTCAAAAATCCAATCGCCGCGGGGTTACGATAGATTTGTTGGGAAAATTACCGCAAAAGTTTTAAATCTATTGTAATTATGCCAATTTAGTCATAACCCTTTTTTTTTGCTAGTTTGGCTAGTTGAGTTCTAAACCTTTTGCATGTATGTCAATTTAGTCCATCCAACTAATTTTGACCCAAAATCGCTGACATGGATGTCGGACATCCTGCTTGGTGCGGCTGGCGTTGACGTGGATAATTTTTAATAATATTTTAATGAATTTTCGAATTTTTCACTTATTTTTTTCTTTTTTTTCATCTGGTTGTACGAGACTGGCAAGAGCGAACCCCGCCTGCCCCCTAGCGAGCTATCGAGGTCGAGTATCACTGGGCAAGGGTGGGCGAGGTTGAGCCTTGCCTAGCCATGGCGAGGCCCACCCTCGCCGACGAGAGGAAGCTGAGAAGAAAAAAAAAAAGAGAGAATAGAAAAAAAGGAAAAAGAAATAATTCGAAAAATTATTAAAATATTATTAGGAATTGTTCGCGTCGGCTGCACCACATAAAACCCATATCAGCTATTTCTAGTCAAAGTTAGCCGGATAGACCAAATTGTCACAAATGTAAAAGATGTAGCACTCAATTGGATAAAAAAAGTTTAGGACTGAATTAGCATGATCATAATAAGTTTAGAATTTTTTTTTTTTTGGTTGGTTGGTTCTCCCTAAATTTGTCAAAGTATCATATTTCATGTCGGCACGGGAATGCATCCAAGCTTCGGCTTGGCCAAGGCCGACATAATTAAGCCGACACTACTTTTTGAATTTACTTCATGACGTCGAATGGAGACAGATATAGGTAAAAGACTCTTCAAGCCATGAGACAACCGCATCATTCAACGGAGGAATGATGAACTTGACCAGAAAAGACAACTGACGGAGACATATAATCTTGTGGCAGCCCACGTTTCGCATGCTATTCGCTGCTTCGTATGAGACATGCGTCACGCCACGTCAATGAGTCGACCCGGGTTTGAACAAAATCATCGCTCCATCCGGTCGAATGCGGTCGTCGTGCCGTAAAATCCGCATCCTCGTTTCTTCGTTTTCCAAAAGGAGGGGCGCTCACCGCTTGAACATCAGGGCGGAGCCTGGTGTTGACGACTTGGCTATACGGCTCCTTCGTTCCCAGACGGCAAGCTTGTCATTTATAGGGGTGTGCAACCGGACCGGGTTTATCCAGGAATCGGACCGGCCCATCCAAAAAACAGGTCTGGGAACCGGTTCTATTCTTTCGGAACCGGTTGAAACCGGTCTGGTTCCCGTGTCTAAGTGAAAATTAGAACCGGTTTTAAGTTACTGTAAAAAAATCCTAGCATTGAGAGTGCGAGTCCCCTTTCTCAATCTGCTCAGTCGCTCCCTCCTCTTCGCGAGTCTCCTTTCTTCCGGTTTCCTCGTCGCCGCGGCTGCTCATCGTCGTGGTTGCTCGCCGGAGTTCGATTACCTGTTCAAACTGCTCTTGATCGGGGACTCCGGGGTCGGGAAGAGCTCGCTCCTCTTGAGCTTCACCTCCGACACCTTCGAGGATCTGTCTCCCACGATCGGTAACGATTTCCTTTTTGGTTTTCCCCCGCCTTGCGGTTTCTGTGTGTGGAGATTGCGGTTCCCTATTTTCTGATTCGGATCCGCGTGGTTGATGCTTAGGGAAAAAAAAAAAGAGTTTTCTTTGAATCTGGTTGTGATCAAAAATGAGTTTTTCGTGTGCGAATTGTATTGTTGAGCCGAATTTTGTCTGTTTATTACAGCTTCTGGATATGAAGTCGGGAATTCTGGGTTTGACCAATAATCTACCGCGATCAAGTATTATGGGTTGTGATTATCCTTTTAAAATACCATCGCACGATAATGTGAACTGTCCTCTTTTCTTAATTCTCTGTGTTTGGCGGGCAATCATTGCTGCAACTAGGGAGATGGAGCCACAATCATAGTTTGGGCATAGTTTAACCGGGGGGGAATGGGATGCAATCACAGTTTTCTTTTGTGTGTTATCCATCCGCTGTGGGTGAATATTTGGTGAACTTTCTTTGCTTGAAACAAATGGACAGGATTATGCATTAGCTAATATAGTTTCATCATTTTCATTTTTATTACTTCGAGAAGTACAGTGCACTTGTGAACATGTCAAGGGGAGCATGTCAATTGTTGGACATGGTGCTTGTGAATTGTTTATTTTGCTCCAAATTTCTGAAACCAGAAAAAAAAAAAATAGATTATCGGGTAGACCCTGGAACCGGACCGAAAAAACAGGATAGGTTCCAAAACAGGGTCTAGGGAAAATAGGGTAGGTTCCAGATTCCAAAAACTAGGAACCGGTTGTAACAGGGTAGGTTCCAGGTTCCAGGTCTGGACCCTACCCACCTTGGAACCAATCACCCCTAGTCATTTATGCCATTCGATGCGAAACAAAGTTAAAGGAAAATTGCCTAAAAAATTCTAAACTTATTGCACTTTTACTAATTCAGTCCTAAACTTTTTAAATTTGCCAATTAAGTCCTAAACCGTTTCACTTTTTGCCAATTGAATTCACCCGGCTAATTTTGATCGGCCGACGCTGACGTGGCCGCCGGCCGGCCAACACTGACGTGGCAATTTTTTAAAATTTTTTTGTTTTTTTTTTACTTCTTCCCTTTGGCCGGTCTGGCGATCGACCAGAGGAAAGGAGGCCAAAAAAAATAAAAAATAAAAATTGAAAAAAATAAAAAAAATTGAAAAAAAATATTTAAAAATTACCACGTCAGTGTTGGCCGAATGGCCGACGTCCACGTCAGCTCCGGGCAACTAAAATTGGCGAGATGGACTCAATTGGCAAGAAATGAAAAAATTTAGGACTTAATTGGATAATTTGAAATATGTATGACTAAATTGGCAAAAATGCAATAGATTTAGGATTTTTTGAACAATTTTCTCCCAAGGACAACGTGGGGCAGAAGGGATTTCGCGGGTGAGATGAGATCAAGATGAGACTGTTTAGAGGTTAACATGGAATCCTTTTTTTTTTTTTGTGGGTGATCAGAATAAACTACAGCAATAGGCTTCTTCAAGCTAACATCAATGGAGGCATCGACCGGAACCAGAGTGAAGTGGCACTACTGATCCAAGTTTCCTGAACCATGTCTAATCGCCCGAGCACGCAACAGGGGGTTGGCATAGCTTGCGCTCCACATCGCTCAACCGTCACTGACCATGCAGATATAGTCTTATCGAGTTTGCTTGCGCTGCAACAGATGCACACTAGCCAAACAAATCTATGCTTCGGAAGATGTTGAGTCGCTCCATGATTATGTCGGTGGACTCCGACCCCTTCTCAGCATATGCCTCACGAAGGAAAGATGACGGACGCATCGGATCAACTGTAAATGATTCATATGATCAACTAAAATGATCGCATCACAAATTTGTTACCCTTCCAAAGACATAGGGGTTGGCATCCTCAGGAGCCAGAAGCTACTAATTACTCAACTGATGATTCAACTCCTGAGAAGAGAGAAAAAAAAATCTCCAGTGCCTTCTCGTGCCGAAGCTAAGTGGCTGCTAACATATACAAGCCACGCGTCTAGAGCTTTCCTTAGATGTGATTCGAGAGATACAGAAGCATTTAGCTCACCAAATCGACTGCTGGATCCCCAAGCCATTACATGTCAATATGAGGCCCTTGTAACGGTTAAGATACTCCTGCAGCGGTAGAAGAATGTTATATAGGCCAATTCAATCCAGAGGAAGTTCATCAAAATTGTTACTCTGTTCCGATGAAGAATGCTTGTCCAGAACTTACAACTATATTGTAATCATAAACATGTGACATCCCTTTCGTGTCATATTCTCTCCTCTTGGCGGGATCGCTAAGAACTGTCGAGCAAATTCATAGAACAAACGATTAGAACCACATCCAGCTGCTGCTACTATCAAACATAATCAATCATACCACCAGCAACCCAAACTTGAAATTCCACCCCATGACTAAATGCTCCACGTAAAAGAGACTCTGAATGAAAGCCTCAAATTTAAACTTGTCGTGATCATGAATTTTCACGATTTAACAACTATCATGTGGATAAGATCATAAACAACGGCCTAGAATCATAATCAAGGTCCCAAAAATTACGACACGATTTTAATGGAACAAACTATTATCTTTTTCACCACTAATTATGCTCATTCTCAAAGGACCCAACTCAGAGTTCTCATAATGATGATTTGAAAAGTTTCCATGATGTTAAAACGCAAATATCAACTAGTCCACGTGAATCAAGTCTTTTCATTTACATGAAAAGATCCATTACCAGTAGTACTTAGGTCATCTGCTTACCAAACTCAGTTCTTTGGCGAATGAATTAGAGCAGCAAATGCATTCTATGAAGACTGACTCTTCCTTTGTTACAAAAAAAATCCAACAGAGTGAAAAGTAAAGAATTCCCTTTAGAAGGCCTGGCACTTGAAGTTGAAGTTAGTCAAGACGCAGAAGGCTCTTTTATTACAGTGCGTCCTTATTAACAACCGTCCAAGTACTTGAGTTGATCAAGTTCTTAATACTTTCAATACAAATTTTGTACCACATTTGTCAAACACTAATCAGTCCAATTGATTCCCCAATCTCGATGATCAAAATCAAACTCTTCCCTTTTGAACTTTCTGGTAACCAAATAAAATTCTGTGCCAAAATGTTTAAAGGCGGCATTGAAAGTCAATTATTGATACAAACCGACACTTTTGTTGTCAAAATGCATCAAGCGTAGCGCACTAACTGTTGATGCCGGACACATATCTTTCCATAACATCACTCAGAGTTCTGGTTTTATGGACATGCTGACCCACTCTACCAACCACTTCCAACTCACAAGCTTCCTCTGAGCCTTGCAATCACATACCATGAACAATACATGTATATTCCATAAAATGAAAACCTTTTTATTCTTAACTAAATTTTTCTAATTCATCGGCTCTTATATCTTTTTGTAGGTTCAATAAAAAAATCAAGATATGGAAAACTTAAATAGAATTTTCTATTCCTAATTATTCTGAATCTTTCTTCTGTACCCAATACTTCAAATATTCAAATCAAGAACTTAGAATTGGTCAAATGATATGAATATGATCAAGTTACTGTTTATATTTGAAATTAAATAACACACTCATTCATTTTATTCATGTTGAATATTAAGTAAGATTTTTACGAAAATGCGGACAAAAATTCAATCATTATTACGTATTACGATGATTTATATCCATAGAGCAAATGATTACTTTACGAAACAATCGATTCAGTCCAACCTAGCCACAAAGTCGCATCCTTTGCGCTGACTGCTCAGTTCTGGTATTCCAGACTATTTCCAGCATTCCCTGGACTAGTACTATTGATCTACGAATCGGATATCAACAACTTTCATGGCCAATCCTCCTCCAGCTTTGAATCGACTTCATTATCAGAGAACACCCCACCAGGGACCGGTTGACTCAACTGATTAATTCAAGCCCCAAATGTAACCAGAACACCAGGCATTAGACCCAAAAACAATGGCAGGCAAAAGCTTCTTTTCTAAACTTGCTTAGTCCCACAATCAAAATTTCAAGGCAAATGTATAGAAACACGAACCGCTGATAAGGATGATTCCCACACATAAATCAACCACCGAACAAGTTCTAAGAACTACAGCTAAAGCGAGATGCCATGAGAAACACGTGAGGAGACAGAGAATCGAACTGACCCTGGTACGCTTCATTTATCTCTTGAAACCTCGAAGTCGCATCGTCCTGACCCTTTTGTTTGTCCGGATGCCATTTCTGCACCACGAAATGGACTTCAGCCAAACATTACAGCCTTCTTTTTTCTCCCTTCAGCTCTCTAACTACGCATGGTTAGCAAAAAAAACAGAAATACAAGGAACTGTAAGGTAACACGAAAAGGTACCAAACTCTCCTCATCCACACTATCACAATGCAACTCTAGATGATCTTTGCGAATACAACAAACCGAGAATTGCAACGAACAGCGAGCAAACAGCGACCGGAAGACCTTAACTAAGCATTATAGCCTCGTGGCCTCAAAAAAATCCTCTCTTTAAGCTTGCGGATAACAGATGGATCAGCTAAAACGACTCCCAACACCAAAATTCAGCAATGCACCAAACAAAAATAAGCAGAACCATCGCAGCCAACAGCGAGCCAATAGCGACAGGATAAGCAAGCAAAACATAGCCGAAAGCCCAAAAGGAAAAAGAATTCACAGACCAGTGCAAGCCGGATGTAATTAGACCGAATCGCGTCCTCGGAGGCATCGTAATCCACCTCCAGTATCTTGTAATAGTCCTGCGCGAGGAAAGCACGCGAATCAGACGAAGCGAAGGCGAAGGAGGAGGAGCCCTAAGGGAGCTGGGAACGACGAGCTCCTCCGTCCATCGACGAGGTCCGGGAAGCTCGCGGCCGCGGTGGTACCTTGGGCTTGGACAGGAGAGAGAAGAAGTCGAAACTGAAGGGGGATTCTTGCTCGGGCTCGCCGTCGCGCGGCGGGAGAGCGTCTTCCCACAACATCTCCGCCGACACGCCTTAGAGATAGAGAGAGAGAGAGAGAGAGAGAGCGCGCGGGGGGCCGTGTGCGGTGGCCCCCAGGCGGCGGAGGCGGTTTCGGAGGAAGCGGATAACGCAAATGATGGCCGTGCCGCGCTCCCATGGGAATAAATCGAAAGTCCTGGACATCGTGGTCATGATCTCCGTGACCAGCAGATTTTTCTTTTTTCTTTTTTCTTTTTTTTTTGTTTTTTTTTTAATCGTTCGTGAAATAGGAGAAAAAGAAAAAATATGGAATGAGGTTAGGTTCACAGACAATCCCTGAACTTTTGCTCAATGTACAGTTTGGCCCCTGAACTTTTAATTTGTTCAATGTATTCCCTAAATTTTAGCCTAATATTCAATATGGTCCATGAACTTTCAATTTGTTCAATGTAGCCCCTGAATTTTTTGTATATGTTCAGTTTAGTCCCTGAACTATATGTGTAATGTCCTTAATTTCAGTCCCTGGGAAATGGCTATGGCTTAGGTTTGGTGGTTTTCCAATCGGAACCAATTTTACTCTTGTTCTAGAAAATTCATATTCGGATCCTCTGTACCTCTTTTGTTTTGTTATTTTTATGGAAACTTTTGTGATCCGAATTTCCAAATACTTCCTTCTTCAAAGTTTCTCCAAACATCTTGAAGTTTTACATACTTTAATTTCAGAATTTTTGGACTTGATATGAGTAGAACGATAACCTAATTTTCGGATTGTGTAAAACTGCCCAGAATAGGTATTTCGGTGATGTTCACATTTTCTCGATTTTCTACAAACTTTTCTGGGCCAATTTTGAACAAAATTTCTTCACAAAATTTGTTGAGAACTTCTTTCTCTATAACATATATAAATTTGAGAATTTTTAGAGATGATTTGGATTCTGGAAAGAGCTTAATTTGAGAAGTAAGAATTCTGTTCCAGCAAATTGTTTTTAGTCTGTCTTTAAGCTATTAAAAGTTGTGTGTACAGAAAGATTCAAATTTTGTATTCTCATGGAAAATGTTTGTTGAGGTCTTGTTTATTACATATTCAAATTTGGGAATTTTCAGAGTTCATTTACTATGTATTTAAACCCGATTTTTAGAACAGTGCAAGAACTGCCAGTTTTGTCAGATTTTAAAGATTCATCATTTTCTATATGAGAACGTTGGAATCTTGACTTGATGTCTTATGGTAATTTAATGTGCTCATTCCGAGCTTTCAAATGAACTATGCTAAGCTTTGATTGGAGGTCACATGATGGGCGAAATGAGGCTTTACATGTGAGGCAGAAGCTGAAATGTGAGGTGACTTGTCTATTTGTGTATTATTGCCAACTTGAAGAACAAGACTATCATCCATGCCCAACTTAGGGGCTCACGGCCAAAAGGAGGACAAGAAAGAAGGTTCTAGAAAGCAAAAACTTGGTGAGTAAGTCGATCAAAACTTGGTGACCAAGTCGGTCAAAGCTTGGTAAGCAAGTCGGTCAAAACTTGGGGAACAAGCTGGCTTGGCTTGCCTATAAATAGGCTTAGTTTCCCCTCTTAATGACCACACACACACTTCCTCTTCCTCTCTCTTCTCTCATTCTCACGCCTCTCTCTCTCTCTCCCTCATCCTCATGCCGATCACCTCTCTTTCTCCCTCTAGCCATTTGCTGCCGCTGACCGCCGTAGACGTTTGCTTGTGATTATAGGTGAGTGAATTCCCTAACACTTGAATAAGGCGGTGTGTTACGTGGTTGGAACGCGGCATGTAAGTGGATTCCCTAATCTCGGGATAGGAAGTTGTGATGCGTTGTTGGCTTGAGTTCTCACCCGAGCTTTTGTTGAGACTTGCGTGTTGTTGTTTGTCTCGATGTTGCACGTATCGCTTGTTACCATGCTTGATGTTCTCATCCATGCTTGTTGATTTATAAGAGGATAGGACGTGGTGTTACGAGTTTGGCTCTAATAGTGACCGTGTCTGTGATGCTCGATGTTTGCATGAATGCTTGTTGTTTTGCTTTATTCGTAAGTCAAAGAATGTACGAGTCACGAAACGGGATGTCGTATGGTCTCGTACTCCTATTGTGGCATTACGGGATAAGTTCGGCTTGGTGCGGGTTTACATTGGGATATGTAGATCTAGGCCAAGTTCAGCTCCGAGCGGGCGCTCGGCGTGGCGGACAGAACCATGTGCCCTCGACTGCGATCCGCATGTTAGGCGAATGTTCTAGAGATCATGATTACACAAGCACGGCACGATTTTGGGCTTAATTACATGGACTAATGAAATCAAGATAATAAACCGGCTTATGTAACCCATGATGTGTGATCACTAAATAAAAGAAGAAGACCGTTGTCACATAGCATTGGCGATAATGCCTCGGTAAACTAGCGCCGGGATGCCCTAGTTGAGCTAGGATGCCTTGGTTGAGCCCGAATGCCTTGGTTGAGTCCGGATGCCTCGGTTGAGCCCGGATGCCTCGGGTGAGCTAGCCCCGGGATGCCTCGGTTGAGCCGGGATGCCCTGGTTGAGCCAGGATATCTAGCATGAAGCTGGATGCCTTGGTGAAGCTAGGATGATGATAAATGAATCTTATATGTATGTCGGTATGTATGTCTATTGATAAGCCGAAGGATTCTGGAGGATGCTTCACGTATAAATTTTCTTGTACATTTTTATGTGACCGGATAAAGGTGAGCTTCTATGTAAACATAGCAAGGGCAAGGACAAAGCCTTTGCTATTGATTTGCCATCGACATAAGGCGGGGAAATATTTGTATGCATTAGTATAACGGCGAGACATCATCCTGCACGAGTATTAGTGAATTTACTCATTGAGTCTCCCCGACTCATTCCTCGTTATTTTTTTCCTTTTCAGGTCCGTAAGATGGAGAATGACATAGAGGAGCTAGAACTAACATCGGCCTTCACTTGTGATATGATTTGTACGTAGGAGCGGCTCGTGAAAAAAGGACTTGTAACATATGTTTAAGTAAAATGGCAATAATGTATCTTGCCTTTTATGCTTTCCCTGGCTTCCGAGGGTAAGATAAATATGTTACATATTAATACAAGGTTTGCTCATGATGCTTGTCATAACCCCGTTATTTGTTCTGATTGTGATTGTCCCGAATTAATTGCTTCCGCTTGTGCTTAGTCAAAGATAATAACGAACGAGACGTCGCACTAATAACCCCCAGGTGGGGGTGTTACAATATGGAAATGTACAATATAGTCCCTGAACTTGAATTAATGAAACGATTACATTGAACATTTTTATAAAGTTCAGGGACTATATTGAACATGTACCAAAAGTTTAAAGATCACATTGAACAAATTGAAAGTTCAGGGACCACATTGAACATTGGGTTAAAGTTCAGGGATTACATTGAACAAATTAAAAGTTCAGGGACTAAATTACACATTGAGTCAAAGTTCATGGATTGTTTGTATCATCTTTCAAAAAAATAATTCAAACATCTTTTCTTGATATTTTCCTCTTTAGACTGTGGAAGGAAAAATTGGAAGGAACTGCCGCACGAAAAAAAAAATCTGTCCGACCTAATCTTAACAATTTCTAATTTTTTTGAGTGGCTTCTAATAATAATTCGAGGAGGAAATATTTTCCGTTTTTGGTTCGAGTCGCGTTCGTCACCCGGTTACAAAATAGGCTGCCGATATTTTTACGCCGATTTTGGCTTCATACGACCCTTAAGAATTAAAATGACAAAAAAAGAGAGAATGGTCGGTCTCACGGTTCCACGTCCATTCCTTTTTCTCTCTTCCTCCTCGTGAACGGGTAGCGGTGGTCGGCCATGGACGAGCAACGCCGAACACGGTCCCCTAGCAAAACTTACATTTTTGGGCATCTCTCTCTTCGTGGAATCAATTGCTCAACTCAGTATTTCCTTTTTGCTTGTTTATGAGCATTTCGATTGCAAAGATCAGCTCACAAGGAACGACATGAATGAGCCCAACTTGGGTTGTTTTGTCATTTTAACTCTCTAGTGGGCCATGGAGCCAATATTGGGGTGAAAATAGTGGCCGCCTTAAAAAAATCTAGCATTTATCGATCAATAATAACATGCTTCGTGTAATTCTTGGTGAGCGTTTTCTGAAATCTATGAAGTTCATAGATAATTTTTGGGTTAATTCCAAAAAAAAGCACCGACTTTAGGTCGAGGGACAATTCTGGCCCGAACTTTTTTTTGTCTCGTAAAAAAGCACCAACTTTAGGTCGAGGGACAATTTTGGTCCGAACTTTTTTTTGTTCCGTAAAAAAGCACCAACTTTAGGTCAAGTGACAATTCTGGCCCTAATTTTTTTTTTGTCTCGTAAAAAAACACCAACTTTCATTTAAATCCCAAATCTGGCTCCCATTGACTTAGAACCATTGATTATCTAACTTGACTATTCCACCTTAGTAATAAATCCACGTGGCTTGCTGACTGGATTTAATGAAATATTCATTGTCTTATTCTCTGAACCACAATTTGAAGAATAACGGTGAAACTATTCGTCTAACTCCTTTACTTACCGGCAAGTAAAAAATATCTCCAGATTGAATCTCTCTAGCCGGACGTAATCCGAAGCTGACCACCGCCTGTTGACAGACGCCATAGACGAGATTCGCCAAGCTCACCACCATAACTTTTTTTCTCAAATAATGGTGACTTCAGACAGAAAGTCACTGAGGAGCCAGATTTGGGATCAGGGTGAAAGTTTGTGCTTTTTACGGGACAAAAAAAAGTTCGGGCCAGAATTATCTCTCGACCTAAAGTTGGTGCTTTTTTTTGGAATTAGGCCGATAATTTCTAATGGTGTCGTTCCCTTGTATTAGAGATTTTATAATCTCGGTGTAATTTCTCCTTTCCCCGAGCTAAAATTTCGTGCATCCGCCTCTTATGATGATGATGGCGGCAATGATGTACCAATTTCATGTATTTAACATTAGATGTGGTCCTGTGGAAATCGTCGTCAAATTGATTAACACTTGTAGCACTCTTTACAAATCTCAATTGGCATTAGACCCTGTTGGCGCTAAAGCTTCACCTAGACCTACGACAATCTATCACGCATACATCGGTTCCGAAACTTTGAAATCGGGAACCCATCTTACCTGCTCTAATACTCACACAACCGAACCTACCCAGCCATGCCCGTTGTGCAAGATCTGTAGGTTCCACAGGTTCTTTTGCACATCCCTATCAAAATCACCATGCCGCATACGAAATGGTCCCGGAGAGGGTGGCCTAAGGTTGACGTTCGGCCCACAATTAAGAATGAAATGCAATGTCATGACAACAGAATGACCTTCCGGGAGAGAAGTTGGTGGCCTTGCCTCTTGAAATCCATCAGAAGCTCTCTTGCCACCTACTCTTCAAAACCATATGTTATGCGCCGTTTCTTGGCTCTAAAGGTCAACTAATGACGAGTTTATTCATGCGCATGAAATCATGGAGGCATGCCGCGGGATATACTAAGTATATCTATGATGAAATTCAACACTTTGTTTGGATGTATAGATTATATATTTGTTCAAGGTCGATTAGGAACTATGCGGGTCACATTAGCTTTGACATTAGAAAATTCAAACTTTAAAGGGTGCTTTTTATGATGATGAATTTTTAGTTTATTTGTTAGCATTTGGAATCGGAAATTTCAAGTTGCATTTAACATCCATGATATTTGAAAGAATATTAATGCTACCGTTTATAACTAGAGGTGGTCGGTTCTTGGTCCGGTTCTGTTCCACCCAGAAATCGGGAACTAGACTAGAAGGACGGGTTCCCGATTTTGATCCGGTCCGATTTCCGGGCGGTCCAATTAAAGAAGGCATCCAGTTGTATTGGTGCTAACACGAGAAGGTTGATGCACTACAGCATGTGACGAGGCCATTCGTGGAGGATCAAAAAATTGGCGCTTGTTAAAAATATCTATTGGAAGAGGTAATACTAGGAGTAGGATGTATTTGTTTTACTGAAAATTTTACGATAAAGAAAAATATTTTTTCATGAAAACCATTTCCAAGTAAAATTATTATTTTTCATTTGTTTGATACGTTAGGGAAAGCAATTTCCTTTTCTTTAGAAGAAGAAGTCGTTTTTCCTCGATCTAAATTTATTGTTTTCAATTCTGAAAGACGTTTTTCTACGTCAAAAAACCCAAAAGTCGGAAAACAATTTTTCAGGGATGAATTTTCTTCAAACCAAATGGATGATTAGGGTGCGTTTGTTTCACTGAAAACGTAACGTTTTTGGAAAATGTTTTCTGGAAAATCATTTTCCAGGAAAATAGTTAGTTTTCCTTTATTTGGTGATATGTGATCGAAAACGTTTTCTGGTGTTTGGATCTCATTTAAAAAATGATTTCAATTCCATGATTTTATCTCAGGCGAAAAAAAAATCTGATCTTTTAATATTTTTATTTTTTTAAAATAAAAAAGAAAAAGAAAAAGAATAAAATATTTAAAAAGTCAAGGGAAGTAATTCCGGAAAGTGTTTTCACCTTTTTTAAATTAGGGAATTCACTTTCTTAATTTTATACATGAATATTTTTCTTGACTGAAAAGTATTTTCTGTTGACTTATCATTTTCGGTAAACTAAATGGGTGAAATTTCGAAAAACGAATTTTCGAAAAATACCTTTTCCGAAACAAATGCGCCCTTAATCTCCTATTTTTTTTGTTGTCTATTTTCTCTCTTCACATGTCTGAAAGCGAGAAGGAGAAAGCGCATGAAATCTGTACGGCCAGGCTTGCACTGTCTCGACAGGTGTCGCAATCTCCGCGAAGCTGACGCGACGCCTCACGCTTCCCGACCAACCGGATGCGGGGCGGATCCGTAATTCAGCCCCCCGTCCCCGCGGGGGCAAATCGGTCAACGAAATGTGCAACCGCATAACTACCAACCAATCAAACGTGTGATTCATAGCGCTCCGCCCACCGGACCCTCCGTCGGGTCGGACAAAATACCGCGAAAAAATATAAAGAGAAAAAAAAGAAAATCAAAATTCATTTGTTATTTTGCCTTCAGTCTGCTCTCGGTTTCGTCGCTCGCTTCCTCATTTGGACCCCTCATCGGCTTCCGCCTCGAGCCCCTCCTCCGATGGCGTCCTCCGTCTCCGGCATCTGCTCGTCTTCCCCGTCCCTCAAGCCGAAGGCGCCGGCGGCCGCGAAGCCGTCGGCCTCCGGCCGGAGGGACGCGGTCTCGTTCCCGAGCGGCGGCGGCGGCGGCGGCGCCAAGCCCGTCGACCGGGCGCCGTCCCTGTCGCTGGCGGCGGCGGCGTTGCCTCCGCCTCGCTCGGTGGCGAGGGAGATCTCGGTGGACTTGGGGAAGGCCGACGGCGCGGCGAGGAAGGAGAAGGACTCCCGCTCGCTGTGGAGGCGGTACGTGGACTGGCTGTACCAGCACAAGGAGCTAGGGCTGTTCGTGGACGTGAGCAGGATCGGGTTCACGGACGAGTTCGCGGCGGAGATGGAGCCCCGGTTCCAGGCCGCGTTCAAGGCGATGGAGGAGCTGGAGAAGGGCGCGATCGCGAATCCGGACGAAGGCCGCATGGTCGGGCACTACTGGTTGAGGAAGTCGGAGCTCGCGCCGACCAGGTCCCTGAAGGCGCAGATTGAGAACACGCTCGACGCCGTTTGCAATTTCGCTGCCGACGTGGTCAGCGGTAAGGTCAGTTCTGAACTTCCGGTTGTTGTTGCTCTCCGTGTGGGAAGAGAGATTGCAGTTCCCTGCATTTTTCATCGGTTTGCCGTCATAGTTGCCTGTGTCGGTTTTCCGACAAATGTCAGCATTGTCTGAGTCGCTCAAGAAAGCTCGAGCCGGGGATAAATTGAAGTGGTTTCTGATCAAAGAGATGGAGAGCTCATTTACGAATTAGTCACTCGGAATGACTGTGTATGGAATTTTTCTCCTCCGAGATGCGATAGTTTTCATTATTTTCTTCAGGTTTTCCGATAAATGTCGGCATGAAATTCAGTTTTTGTTCGTCGATTTTCGTATAGTTGCTTAGCTGATTGCATTGGACACCGATGGATTGATTGACTTGGTTATGTTTGACGCTTAATTTGCAGATTAAGCCCCCTCCTACTTCTCCTGTGGATCGCTTTACTCAAGTACTTTCAGTTGGAATTGGAGGTTCAGCTCTCGGGCCCCAGTTCGTTGCAGAAGCATTGGCTCCCGATAATCCTCCATTAAAGGTATCTTCAGACATTGTAGATAAGTCGGCGGTCGCATGTTTGTCTTTTGTCCTTTATTGCTTTTTCAACTAGTTAATAAATATCGAGTCTTGACAACTCTTTTCTCGAGTGAGCAGTTCTCCTTAATGTTATTCTTCCTGCTTGGATTAGTCGTGACGTCATTCCATTTCATGCCTTTTGTTGTAAGTTTATCAGTGTAGATATGAGAATGATCCTACTGCTCTCCCTGTATTCTTCATGCTCACATTTCTCCTTCATTATCTGCAGCAAGTGTAGATGCTGCTTGATTCACTAATGCACAATGAAAAAAGATCTACTTTTGTTGATGATACTGTACTTAGGGTTTTTTTTTTCCTCGTCTTTTGATTCTGCGGGATGTATTTGAAAAGTGTTAGTGGATTTTAGATTTTTGCCCATCAGATTTAAGTAAAGTCACAAGCTATGGAGGAATGTGCAGTAATAAGTCTTGGCACATTGGGTGAACACCCTGTGTTAGCGAGTTTTTGACTTTTGACTGTGTGAATGATATCTCAATTTTACTTTTGGCAGCTTAGATTCATTGACAACACAGATCCAGCTGGAATTGACCATCAAATTTCGCAGCTTGGTCCTGAGCTGGCTTCTACCCTAGTAATTGTGATATCAAAGGTGCCTGCATGATATTCTGCTTTGTGATCTCTCCTTTTTGCAGATTTGAAGAATATGTGGTAATTTGTTGTCATTTCCCATCCTACAGAGTGGTGGTACTCCTGAAACCAGAAATGGCTTATTGGAAGTACAGAAGGCCTTTCGTGAAGCAGGATTGAACTTTGCAAAACAGGTTTTGGTCCCAGGTTTTTTATTTCTGCTTATAGAAGTTTCATTGACAGTTCATTGAGTTTCTGTGCTCTGAGTTGCTAACTAATATTGGCATGATGCTCAAGGGCTAAAAGCTATTGAATGTTAGACTTATCCTTTTTGTTGCGAAGAAAATAGTTGGATCCTGGTTCATGTGCTCGTGTGGTTTTCATATGGTAGGTCCAGGTCCTTTCTATCATTGTTGCACATCAACGAAATCCAACACCTTGATGATTTCTTTTCTGGTTGAGCATTTTCTTGAGAACAAGCTTCTAGATGTCTCGGGTTGAACTCTATTTTGATGCATTTATTTTATAATTAGGAGTATTCAGTTTAGTGGCTATTTTAAGATATTATTGCGAATGAGTCTTGGTCAGTTTGTTAGTCTTGCATGGAACTTGTGATGTATGACGTAATCTTGGATAACTGCATGTCTTCATTTATATGTCACTCTGATGGTGCACTTGCATGAAATTATGTCAAAATTAATCTTTTCAGTTGTTTGCTTAGGTGAAATTTTGGGGCCTTCAATTTTGTAGATATTGCATTGATCACTTTTTTTTCCCATCATGAATGCAGGGTGTTGCCATAACACAAGAGAACTCATTGTTGGACAATACTGCGCGGATTGAGGGCTGGTTGGCCAGATTTCCAATGTTTGACTGGGTGGGGGGCAGAACATCTGAAATGTCCGCAGTTGGTCTACTTCCAGCAGCCCTTCAAGTTCGTAAGCCTAACTTCTAATCTCATTGCGGTTACATTTTCTGATTTGACATGAAGAGCATATTCATTAGTGACTCCAACTTCAGGGGATCGATATCAGAGAAATGCTTGCTGGTGCATCCTTGATGGATGAGGCAACTAGGACAAAAGTGGTAAGATTGCTGTCAGTTAATGTTATCTGGTGTTTCTTCGGAACGTTCTATTGTTACCCAAGTCCAGTAGAGGAATTTGTTTGAGTATCATTGGGCAACTTATGGTGTAAAATCCTTCTCAATGTGTAGTGCTCAGGATTCTGCATGTGCTCATTTTATGATATAGGAAGCTGGGTCACCAGAGTAAACTAATTATGGTTGAGATATCGATCTTGACTATCAAACCAAATGTTAGATAGCTATTCTGGTGTTCAAGGATGTTAGATAGCTATTCAGGCGTTCAAGGATGTCAGCTAACAAGTCGAACGGTTGTCTCTGATAGTATGCACTGCAATGTATGCAAGAGTAACTTGTGAACTTATATGCAGCAGAATCGCCGCTTGTATCCTGTCATCATGCACTGTGAAGATGATTTTGTAGCATATGTGCTAGAGGATGTCATACAGTATAATTCACTGTACAATAGAATCCAGAGGATTCATTTGATCCATTTGAGCTTAAAATTGGCAATTGCAATTGTTGTCGCTTAGTTGCTTTGTAATATCAACCTCAAGGCGTGTTCATCTCTAGTTGCTGATGCACTCTACAGTGAATCAAAGTACAGCCTTTTGGCTTCATGCACTTTGATTTGTGCCTTCTCTTGTTGGCTGCTTGTAGTATTAGATTCACCAGCATATCGAATCCTTGTTTAGGATGCATTGTAAATCTGCAATGCAAGTCTGGGAGATGATTCTGTTTCCCTGTCCAGGATATCCATTAGTTGTAGGTTGTCTGAAGAAGAACCATAGATATGTTCATTTAGGGACTGATAGCATATCCACACCGTTTGCATTTCCTAGATTGTAATTCCTTTTCCTGCTTGCAGTATTAAATCTGCCAGCAAATAAAATTTTCTTTAAGGATACAGTCTAATGTAAGTCTGGGAGTTAATTCTGTTTCCTTGTCTAGGATATTGCTAACTTGTATGTTTTGTCGGAAGAAGATCCACAGAAACATTCATGGAGGGACTGTAAATTGACTTAGCATATCCACACCGTTTGTGCTTCCTAGATTGTAAATCCTTTGGCAATTAACTTATCTTTGTAAACATAAATCTCATGGCCTGTTTGGGGTGGCTGTGGGTTTCAGCTTGCCTTTTCAGTTGTAGCTGTGGGTTTGAGTTTTTGGCTTTAGCTTTGACTTCACAAAAAGAAGTTGGCGGAAGACATAACTTACAACTTGAAAGTGACTGTGGCTCATTTTGAGAATTTAATAGTACTGAACACTGATCCTTAAGTCACAGATGTTTGGATTCTTGGATTACTTTACTTCTCAAATGAAGCATATAGTAACTTTTAGTGACCAAAAGCCATATATCTAAAGTGGAGTCCCTATCATCCAAAAAAGATAAAAAAGAAGAAGAAGTTAGGACATGAGAAGTATTAGTAGCTTTTTATAGTTGTCTGAGTGGCTTCTCTACTGATACTGATCAAAGGATGTTTCTTGCCTTCTGTAGTCCCGTGTCAGCGAAAATAACTCATTTCTTTTCCAGGTCAAGAACAACCCAGCCGCATTGCTTGCTTTATGTTGGTATTGGGCTTCTGATGGTGTAGGATCTAAGGTATTACATTTTAATAGGAGTGTCTTCTGAATTGTTGTTTTTTCTGCTTTCGGTTTGCGGTCATTGACAAGTGTTTCACTTTTCAAATTGCTGCTGTCAGGACATGGTAGTTCTTCCTTACAAAGACAGCCTTCTGTTATTCAGTCGGTATCTGCAGCAACTAGTAATGGAATCACTTGGAAAAGAGTTTGACCTGGATGGCAATCGGGTATGTGTGTATTTTTTTGGTGAAAATAGGGAGTTGCATCTACATCTCTAGTTTCCAAAATGCAAATCTCAAATTCTTCATTTCACAGGTCAATCAAGGGCTTACTGTTTATGGGAATAAAGGGAGCACAGATCAGCATGCGTAAGTTATTTTTTGATAAAGTGATGGAGCTATTACTTTTACATGCTAGTGACGTGATTATTCCTGATGCATGTTATTGTTTAATTTCCGTATAGCTACATACAACAGCTGAGAGAGGGTGTGCACAACTTCTTCGTAACATTCATTGAAGTGCTTCGTGATAGACCACCAGGTCATGATTGGGAGCTTGAACCAGGTGTTACCTGTGGTGACTATCTGTTTGGAATGCTTCAGGTTTGGTTACAGCAAGAGCTACTAATATTTAACTTTAAGAAGATTCTAGCAATAGTCGAAGTTCCTATGTCTATTGTTTCTGAAGTTTAAGATCTCACACCTCTCTCGGAAAGGAGACATGAGTTCAGTAACTGATTTACTTCTAATCACTCAGTTGTTTTCTGCAATTGATCTCTTTTGGATGTGGTGAACTTCTGTAGGGAACAAGGTCTGCTCTGTACGCCAATGATCGCGAGTCTATAACAGTCACTGTCCAAGAAGTGACCCCTAGATCAGTGGGAGCTCTTATAGCATTGTATGAGCGAGCAGTTGGGATATATGCCTCACTAGTCAATATTAATGCCTATCATCAACCTGGTAAATAGTTTACCTTATTATTTTTACTTAAATTAGATGATTGCTATATGTTTAGTGCTTATTGCTGTTGAGAATATGTCTGGCCTCTCTTTGAATCAAGAAATCAAATCAACACATCTAACTGGCTGTCTCCTTTCTTTGCCCCTGTGTGCAACTGAATTTCTTAGGTGTCGAAGCTGGGAAAAAGGCAGCGGCAGAAGTATTGGCTCTTCAGAAACGGGTTCTGGCTGTACTCAACGAGGCCAGGTATCTTACTAGAACGATCTCGTCTAAGATGGAAAGTATTGGCTCTTCAGAAATGGGGTTCTAGTTCATTTTTTTGAAATTCAGATAGGTTTTGTTAATTTTGCCTTGGTATTGCATTTTTCAGCTGTAAGGAGCCTGTCGAGCCACTGACTCTCGAAGAAGTAGCTGAACGTTGCCATGCTCCTGAAGAAGTAATCTGCCTAATCCCTGAGCTCGAATTAGTAATCCAGAGCTATTGAATTTTGGCTAATCCTTTTCCTGGCCTTGTGGATGCAGATTGAAATGATCCACAAGATCATCACTCACATGGCTGCCAACGACAGAGCACTCATTGCTGAGGGTAGTTGTGGATCGCCTAGAAGCATCAAAGTTTTCCTCGGGGAGTGTAATGTCGATGAGTTATATGCTTGATCTTCGCAGAAGTCGGATGTCTTGCTGCGCGCCTCTTCGTAAATCTTCAATAAGCTGATTTTGATTGTGGTACTGAATCTTCATCAGAACGTGGGATAATTTGGGAAAATAAATTGGAATTTTTTTGTTGGAAGACCTTTGGCTTATTTGTTCGACATGTAAAATCGACATTGTCGAACTTTTTATCAGACAATAAAAAAAAAAGGACTGATGAGTCGATTCTCTTGTAGAAGTTGTTGATACTTTGAGGAATGCGAGTAAACGGCTGGTCCATTCTCTGTTGCTCGATTTTCATTGCAATTAGTCCTTCCCCATGGCAGCTTTGGTTAGTTTGAGGAGTCATGTTTCTTGTTATCTTATCTTTCGGACTCTGTTAAACGATGCATTTATATTCGGTTGCGCTCGAAAACAAAGCGGCTGTCAAGTTCCCATGAGTCCCTTCTTCGGTGGGATGTAAGGGGGTGCGAATCATGAGTTGCACCAGCTCCGGAGCTTTGAGTTTTGGACAATGACCGTGTATAGAGTTAACAAGGCATTTCGACCCGAGTGCTTTGTGCACGCGCGTTTTCTTTCTTTCACGTTCAATTGCTCGCAAGTTTGATCGAATTGACCAAATGCCGTAGCATCTTCAGGCCGTCCGCAACATGAGATCATTTAGTTTCATTGGTTGTCGTTTTTGATCGAATTGACCAAATGCCGTAGCATCTTCAGGCCGTCCGCAACATGAGATCATTTAGTTTCATTGGTTGTCGTTTCAGGGAAACTTAGGTGTCTCGCCCCTTCTATTTCTACATTATGGAAACATTTCACGCTTTGCCAAGTTAAAACAGTATTATCAGGAGAAAGAAATGTCCGCCATTCTTTCATTCTCTCTCTCTTTCTTTGGTTTCTTTTTCAATGAAGAAACACCATAAACAGATCACGATTTGCATTGACGTGTGCATCTAACTGTGACCTGCTTAGAATGGTTCGGCCGTAGATGCGTTCTAGATGCAAGCACAACAAACCAACATAATCTCACCAATCAACATGAATTCCAATAAGAAAGTCCATATTTACAAAGAGTAGATCAGGTTATGCAATTGATCTGATCTGCACACAATAAAGAATGACATCGGCATGGCACAACATTCAGAACACCAGGCCACCTACGCAGCACAAGCACCGACAACCCAACCGCCTTAACTCCTCCCCTGAAGGAGCATCCACATCAGAGAAGCTTCGAGATCACATGACAGGATGCCCAGAAGGCTTTCGAGGCAGCCTGAAGAATGACAGGATTTTGATATATCCTGCGGAGAACAAGAAGTAGATATCAGAATATCATTCAATGAAATTGGTGGTTATCAATAATGAAGAAGATGCAGCTGTTCGGAGTATATATTTAGAAAAGTAACAGCACGCATCAGGTAGTGATTAGTAATGACGAACGCGATCTTTTAACTCAAGACTATGGAATAAGGAATGCCGGTTGGTGAAAACCTTAGCTTGGAGAACCTACCCAATTGCAGTTGCTCCCCACGATGCTACATTATAAATAACTCTGCTCCCATCCCATGCCTTCCGAAGCTTTCCCTTTTTCTTTTTTAATGAGAATGTCTTGCAAAGAGCTGAAAGAAAATTCAAAGGTTATCAGGACTCCAAAAGTTAGCAACCGCAGAATCTAGGAAAAACTTAACCTGAACATAGAAGTTACATCCTTAACAAACTTGATGAAAATATCTTATATTATGTTAGCAGCAATCAACAGACATTTTTAAAAGTGAGTTCAAATTATATCAACGAAAGAGGAGGAATGACAATCAAGCTGACCTTCCTGAAGTTGGTTAGGAGTCAACTCCTGCAAATAGAAAAGCACCAGCTGCTAAGCCCAAAAAAGTAAAATTGTGCAAGAAGAAGAGGAGGGAAGCAAATGCATCTCATGCTACAAGACAAGCATCCTATGAAAGTAACAGCAATAACTGTCCTGGCCCATGCACAACAAATGACACGAATTGCCTCATTATTACTTGTTCCTTCAAAATCTGGTAATGTAACTCGCCACATCTAGATGAAAAGAGCATTATCTAGTAGATAGTGTAGAAATCATAAGCAGATCTTGAAGGAAAACGTAATGACTGAATCTTCACGAGAATAATTATTTTGATCTAAGCAAGTCTATTCAATAAAAGACCAAGAATATGAGAAATTCCCCAAGCAAAGAGTGCAAAATCCATGAACAGAGTAAGATCCAGACAAAATGAAGTAGTTCTCAGGAGTTGAATTTTTGAGATGCATGCTCTCACGTCACTCAATCAAGAATGCTTTTCATGTTTTTTTTAAACATCCCAATCTAAAGGCTCTTGTAAGTGTAGATAATACACAAAGGCCGCAAGGACTGATAGAACTTATAATAAACCACAATCATGGGTTCACCATCAATATTTGCAATAGAGTCATAGACACCATGCAGTGAAACTCATGAAAGGAAATAAGTTCAACAAGAATAAATCCACTATTAATGCTTATTCTTTAGCAGAATATTCATCTGTTATTAGAAGCCTTTGAGTAGAAGAAGCCGCGTAATCAAAAGGAAATGGATGTGGACCAAAGATATCAAGTCCAAATATAAGCTGTGCTCAGTCCAGCGAGAGTTGTTTCCATCGCATAGAATTACATTGCGTGCTATTCCAGCACTTACATACTCAATATAACTGAAGATGACATCGACCAGCTAAACTAATCACTGGAAAAACCCAAAAAGAAAACAGAAACTCTTCGTCCTGTTTCATTTGAGACAGCAATCGCAGGCAATAGCTTGAAAGAAAAACATTTTGGCTCATGGGTCACAAAAAAAAGAGGCCAATCTATATGTTCCGCACCAATGACCAGGTAACCTGAGAAGTTTTGGTCTCAAGCAATTGCAAGAAGTACAGCATACCTTTGTCTGTTTTAGGGACCGGAGGCAGGCAGCCATAAAGCATGCTATACCATCTACGATATCTTCTTCTTTCACAACAACATAATCCTGTTCGCTAGGATCCATGTTTTCATCTTCCCATAGATCATCTTCACTGACCATATCCCAGTCGCCACCTTCCTCTGTTTGCAAAGGAAACATCCTATCAATCTGCACGTATGATTTTCTTTGGTGAAAGAAAAAGGTTGTTTAACATACTAGTTTTCATTATTGAATGAAGTAGAGGTTGTCAGACGCCAAGAGAAAAAACGAAGAGTAAAAGATCTTTGCAATCTAAAGAGCATAAAAGTCGTTGGCCTTATATACCGGCAGCATTACGCGGAATTGACACTTGAGCACACTCTAGCTTTTGGAGGAAGTCTGGGCATTCAACTCTAGATTTGAGAAGATCACACAGCTAGATCAGGAAAGTCAGAAAAAGACACATTAGCTAAGTTCAGAACTAGAAAGCACTTAAAATCACGCACGTGTGCACACGAACGCGCGCGCGCGCGCTCGCACACATACACACTCCTGTACACAACAATATTCTTCTGCATGCAAGATTCAAATCAGTTAAACAAAAAAAGCACCTAGTGATATATTGCTCGAGAAAGTTAATAACTGCAACAACATCCTTATTATTATTTGACATCCCTTCACTTTGACTATCATCTCGCAAGACAATGAATGATCAGGAAGTAAGATCCACCAAACAACAGCGAAACGATTTGCCAAAATTTCAATTTGTGAGGCCCACATAACTACATCTTTGGACTGCATCATGGAGGACAACATCCATGGGATAAAGACGTAAATAAGTAACACAAAACTGAGACCAAACGGAAGGGACCTGAGAGCAATGCCTGCCTTGCCTTAACAGAAGAGAGACACAGAAAAAGTACCAAAATGAAGTAATTTATGCCTAAGTCTACATGTACTACAGCCCTCTAATTATATTACATGCATGTCGTGTTAACTTAAACACATGAAAATGTATCCAAAACCTTCAAAATCGGTTTCGTAAGATGAAAATTGACACATACACTCGTACAGTGACCATCAAATCCGGAGAATAGAGAAATGTGAGGATCCACGACACAACTGCTTACTAGAAGAAGCATGAAGTAATAATACTCTGGTAAGATTTATGGCGACATAGTCCGAGTTTTTTATTTACTTTGATATCATCAAAAATCCAAATTCCAAAAAGGACTACTCTCCAAGCGAAAGCCCTTCATTTGAAATATATTTGAAGGCTCTCTGATTAAGGCCATAACCTTTGTACTCAGAATGAATCAACTACCCGAAAGAAACTGCTAATCTCCGTTGTCCTTATAAAGAAACTATCTCAAACTTGACCAAAATCCAATATGAAGCTTGTGACAAAGCAAACCTGGGGCTAACACTAATACTGGGATACCCAACCATTGAGCCATCCATAACAAATTCTTAGAAAGCATCTCATATGTACGACAGGCATTTGAGAATCCACAAAAAGGTAGCACTGGGAAATGCAGGAGGACCATCCACCAAATTTAAAGTCAGCGTCTAAGATGCAAGTTCATTCTCCTAAAGTGCTCAGACCTCAAACTCGAAACACTTACAAACAAATCGCCGGGATCCTACAAAATTCCCTTTCAATGAAAAGAAACAAAACTTTACAAGTGCAGCTTTCCAGGTCTTTATACCTAGAAAAAAGACCAATTCCCCATAAAGTCCCGAAAATTACCATTCCCGAAAACAAACTTTCACGAGCATGTCGACTATAAAGGTATACACACATACATACGATCGAGCTGTTATTGCCAGGTTTCTCCACCAAACCCAGAAATCTCATCCTTAACTGGAACAAATTCTTCAAGGCAATAAAAGAAGTGGACAATTTCCCAATCAGACCAACCTAAAAATGATATGAATGCACAAACCAAAAATAACAAATCCCTTAGATCCTAAAGCTGGAAACTTCAATCCCTTTTCATGACCATATGTATTGATCAAGCAAGACCCAAGCCGGAATCAAACATCCCATCCAAAAAATACGTCCAGATTCAGAACGATTAACCAGCAACAAACGTAGGCACAACTACCTCATCGGCTCCACAATCACTGCGCGGAGTCGCCGAGCCATCCCCACCCGGCTCAACTTCCGGGACGGAGCCGTCGCCGTCGCCGTCGCCGGCGCCGACACCCTCATCGCCGCCCTCCTCGACCTCGCCGTTGCTGAGCAGCTCGAGAGCTCGCTGGCACTGCTGGAGCACGGCCTGCAGCGTCTCTCTCTTCACCCGGACCGATTCCCGCCTCGCCTTCCGATCCCCGGCCGGCGGCGGGGTGCTCGAGCCCGAGCTCTCCACCTCCTCCATCAATTCCCGCAACCGAAAGCAAGCTCTCTCTCTCTCTCTCTCTCTCTCTCTCTCTCTCTCCCTCCCTCCCTCCCTCCGCACGCGTCGAGCGAAGCAGCTCGATTCGCGCGCGCGCGCGCGCGAGAGAAGCTCGAGGCCTCACCGATCCCCGGCCCCGGATTCCGAGGACGCGGCGAGAGATCTGCCTTCTTCTCCTCCTTCTTCTTCTTCTTCGACGAGGAGGAGGTGGAGGTGGTCCGCGGGCAGTTCCTTGTCGGAATTCGACATGTGAAGGTTTCCCTCGGCGCTCGCTTGTTCTCCTCCGGTTGCCGTGTCGGTCGAAGCGGGCGGGCGGGCGGGCGGCGCGAGCGAGTTGGGTTGGTGTCTCTCTCTCTCTCTCTTCTCTCTCTTTCTTTCCCTCTTGGAATTTTCGTTCCGCTTCGGTTTTCCCGAGAAAGGACGGGAAAAGTTTGGCGACCCGCGAGAAAACGAAAAGTAAAAAAGAGGCTGTGGAATGGGTCAACCTGATGATTAGTTCTATAATTGATTAGATTTTAATCAAATTTAATTCGAGGAAGCTATTTAATTACGGCTTTGAATGATTAGCATCGTGTCATATCTGCGGGTTACAATTGCGTGTTGGACCTTTCTTCGTGTTCAGCCATGAATTGGATTACTTTCCATTAGAATTAGAATTATGGGTTAGTGCACGTAAAATCTCAAATTGAAACTTATGTGATTGATACGTTTACGATAAATTCACCTCAAAAGACCACCGATAATTCTAAACTGGTGTATTTATGATAAATTTATCACAAATTAATTTTTTAACCATAAAAAACCTCAACCTTGTACATTTGTGACAAATTTATCCTCCGTTGTTTCCGTTAAATTAGATTAATACCACGAAAAATTACAAACCGATACATCTGTGACAAACACTGGGTTAGAACCCAAATTGATATACCCGTCGACTACCATGTGTCATTTAATCCGGCAATTTGACGGTAAAATTTAATGGAAAACGACGGAGGGTAAATTTATCACATGTGTACCAGTTTGGATTTTTTATTGTCAAAAAATTAGTTTGGAGTAAATTTGTACATGTGTATCAGATTGAGGGTTTTTCGTGATATTAACCTTGCAATTTTTATTAGGTGGCTATTTTTATTTATGACACACATGACTATTTTAAGCGCCTTAGATGATCTAATCACAGATTATGTACTCTCTCTTCCTCCCGTTTGATCGGCATTTTGTTTTCTTGAAAAAGAGAAAAGGGTAAATCGAGAGCATGACTTAGAGGGCACGGGAGCGCTAACTCGTTTGGCGGCGGAACGGCGGTTTTCGTGTATAGCTCTTACCGGCATAGACTTCGTCGTGTGACCTCCAGTTTTTTTGGGGGGTGTCTAACCAAGATGGCCACTCCGAACACAGGCTTCTGGAAAACGATCGTTCCCGGAGGAAGGCGACGATCCAAGACTAGGGCGAGAAAGGCTCTAGGAACCCGATTGCGATGGACTAGATTTAAGGTTTTTTTCTGAACTCAATTGAGGTTCAATGCTTATCCTATAAATGGACCAGATCAAATATTGCCACCGGATGGAACGGAAAGGCCTAGAAATGTCACCTAGACATTTGAACACTTCAACCCTTCGACGAATAGAGGAAAAAAACGAGACACCATGACTCTAAACTTGCGAGAAAATGTCTTGTCGACTTAAAAGAAAGATTTGGTCTGATTAGGCATGGAGGGAGTGGTCCTAAATCCTACTTGCATTGCGCCTAATTCCATGGCTGTATTTCTTGGGGTGTGCCTCCATAACAACGTTTCTTATGATGCACCGTACGAAAGTTTGATTGGGGGTAGGGAAAAAGTTTGTGAAGTTGGGATTGGGAGCTAGTAGGCCCATCGAATAGGTAGGTTAGGTCGAAAATGGTACAATCTCTATCGATGACCCGTTCCATACCCGACTGAATCCGGACCCACCCCGAGCTCCGATCCTTGGTAACTTTTGTTCTCAAATTGCTGCCTCTGAAGAATGAACGATTCCATAGATCGGGCTCGCCGAGTCGGTGAGGGGTCTCGGGTCGGGCTGCGGGCTAAGGCTTTGAGAACACACTTTCTCGATCATCCCCCCCCCCCCCCCCCTCTCCACCCCCAATTCGAGCCGAAGCCAACAAATCGGTCGAAATCTTCCCAGCAACTCTCGTGACCCACGTTCCGCGATGTGCGGCCCGGTGTCGAGCACTAATGAACACAGTCTCCCGGTCTTACTACTCAACACAGTCCAGACAAATTCAGTCGCTCGCTAGATTCTAAGGGGCAACGTCACCGGGGGCCTTACTTCATCCCGTGCGTGTCGTGGTCTACAAGCAACCTTGCCTTCACGTTATGGACATTCCCTCGTCCACTACGCCGTGCCCCGCGTAGGACGAGTGATTGCGGGGGCGTCTTGGAAGCGCAAACGTGCTCTCCCCGTCAAAGGAAAGGGCAACGTCGGGCTGGTTTGCAAATGATGCTGATTCATAGCCTCAATCACGGGCCCTTTTGTGGCTCTTTTGATTATTTGCTAGTATCACATTGTCACGTTTCGATAATTAAAAAAAAAAACCCTACAAAAAAACAAAGATAGAAAGAAATTAGATAGAGAAAGGACTATAATGAACAGAACAGAAGTGTAATTACGAAATCCCGTGAATGGTACCGAAGGACTGATTTGATTTTGTCGAGAAAAGTTGAGCAGCTGGGTTGAGCAGATCGAAAGTTTAGGGGCTATATCGAGCATTTAAAAGTAGTTCAAGGATCACATCGAATGAATTTAAAAGTCCATAAAGGATATTGCTTGTTGAGCCGAAAATTTAAGGGCCAGTGGATCTGTCTCTAATTTAATTTCCGTTTGGCGGCCTCGTTGCCAAAATCAGTGCAAGCGATTCGTGTCATCCAAAACAAAAGAGTTGCTTTTATCTGCCTCTCGATCCTCATTTTGAATAAGTTCATTTTATTCTAACGACAAAATTTTCCAAAAAATGCCGAATCTATTGCACTTTCGCAAATTCACTCGTAGATCTTTTAATTTTGCCAATTGAGTTTTAGGCCTTTCATTTTTGTCAATTAAATCCTAAACATTTTCACATTTTTTCAATTGAGTCCAGGTCAATTTTGGCTGAAAATCGTTGACTTGGACACTGGACGTCCTACGTTGTATGGTTGGCATTGACGTTGATAAATTTTAATAATATTTTGACTTATTTTATTAATTTTTCATAGTTTCTTTTCTTTTCTTTTGTTTTTACTTGTGGCAGGCGAGGTTGCTGGACCCTCGCGGCCATGGGCGAGGTTGGCCGCCAGATCTCGAGCTTGTGGCTACCATGGCTGCTCGAGCTTGAGCTTTGGGTTCTTGGTCATGGTGGTTGCGAACCGGAGAGGCTGCTCGAGTTCGACTTACGGCCATGGTTGCCAGGTCCCGAGCTTACAGTTGCCATGGTTGTTCGAGCTTGAACTCTTGGTTCACGGCCGTGCTGGACTGCTTTAGCGAGGTTGGCGGGAGGAGAAAGATGGCCTCGTTGCCGATTTACGTCTCGATGCCGTACCAACCACGGCCGACAAGAGTTCTTAAGAGGATGGCTGCTGCAAGCCCGGAATCTGGCAAACATGGCCGCGAGTCGAGCTCGAGTAGCCATGGGCGAGGCAGCCTCGCCGATCTGTGGCCACCATGACCACGAACCCAGAGCTCGAGTAGTCATGGCAACTGCAAGCTCGAGATTTGGCGGCCGTGAGCGAGGGCATCGTGACCCTCGCGGGGCGGATCAAATGAACTCCCAAATCCGACTCGTGCTTTACAAAAACGATGGAACAAGGAAAGCATGCATCAAAAAAATGGGGATCATGATCTCCGAATAAAATAATTTTAAACTGTCATATGACATAACATTAATTAATTTTTTTTTTTTAAATAAAAAGGAGGGGAGGAAGAGGAAGAACGTGGGGGGAAGGTAACGGGAGTGGAAATACCGAGATTGGCCCCCCCACCCCCTCCCCCCCTTGGTTTTCGCGGAGGACCAGGGGAAACCGCGGAGCTGACGTGGACAACTGCCCCGCACATTAGTAGGCCCCGCACTCCTTGGGCCCCCCCCCCCCCTTTCCATTCCAAACGACATTCCCCGGTCCATCCATCATCAAGAGAGAGAAACTCACCGCCCCTCCCTCCCTCCCTCTCTCTTCTCTTCCGTTGCAGCGCGCCATGATCATCGCCATCCGGTAAGGCTGCGCCGGCCGGAATTCCGCCGGCATTGCCCCCCCCCACGGCTCCCCCCGATCGCCGCCGCCGTCGTCGACGCCGCGGGGGCGTTCGGCGTCGTCCCGGTGACGGGGGGAACCTGCATTGTTGTTGTTGTCGTCGTCGTCGAGGAGCTCTGACGCGGGAATGCTGGTTGTTGCAGAACGAGCGGCGTCCGTCGGTGAGGATCGCGCCCCCTCCTTGCTGCTCCCCCCCCCCCCCCGCCGTCCTCCGCGACTCGTCTCCGATGTCATGACTACTCGGAACGGCGAACCTTCTCAGGTACGTGCGTCGCGCGACCCGTCCGTACGACGACCGATCCGATTCTCCCAGGGGGCGAGGGCCGATGAGCTGGTGCTGATTCGGCGCCTCCCTTGTTCTTTTTTTTTTTTTTGCCTGTTCGAGCGGATGTCGTGGAGTTTCGGAAATGGCCGTGGAGGTTTCTGCGTGGTCGAGGGCGTTGGTGAAGCGCGGTGACGTTTTGTATTGCGATTTTTCGTTTTTTTTTATTTTTAAATTTTTTTAAATTTTGGTTTCTCGTGTGGTTTTCAGGGAGAGGGCGGTGTTCCTCCGCCTCCGCCCATGCCTCCGCCCGGACCGCCGCTGAATCAACCGACTTCTCGCACGGGCAATAAGGTGATCAGCGTGTTCCGGATCGCAGTGCTGTATCAGTTGCTTCGTTGTCTGTTCTCACATTGTGGTGTCCGAGGAAATTTGATTCATCTTTAGTTTGTGCTGTCAGCGATGGAGCTGTTACTTGTTATGCGATGTCTCTTCACGATTTATTATTTATAGCAACTTCTGTCGTTGTTGACTTTTTGCATCTTAATTTGCTAGGCCTGTGTTCCTTTGATTACAGCTCTGTTGCTGATGGAAAAAGGCATGCATGCTTAGAGCTTAGACAACGTGATTCCTTGGTAAAATAGGAGTTCAGATTTGCATAAGCAATGCTGCACTGTGAGAACGGGGAAATGGAATTCCTATCCCAAACATAACGTACCCGTATCAACCTTTAGGCAGTTCATAATGCGCTTTATATATGTCTTTGTTTCGCATCTTGAGTAACTCTGCTATGACTTACTTAGGTTCTATCACCACTCCTGCTTTCTTACTATAAAAGCAAGTACTTATTCCCCGGTCAAATTGTCAATTATTTGCAGGTTTTTAAGAGCGGGCCGCTATTTTTGTCATCCAAAGGTGCGTTTATATGATGTTCACCCTTATGATTCCACTAAAGGATAACTAGTCAGAATCCGAGTGGACAATCACAAGCGACAAAATGTCTTCTAGTTTTGCTGTTATGCTTGGGGTTTTCCTGTAGTGTTGGGTGTCATGCTTGTTATTATCGCGTGGCTTCGAAATGTAATTCGGAAATTATTCAAATGTTCTTTTTGAGATATAAGGGCAACTTAACCCACCATTCTTGTTAGTTGCCCCTCTCAGTTACTGGATATGAAGTCGTTGTTTGAAATGGCAGAGCATAATATTCAATGTTGTATTGTCCAATTATTTGCTACGAGACATACGTGCAACTTTGATGGTCTAAGCTGCTGTTATTATTCCTTCTCCTAACACAATAGATGAGACTAAACTTCGCGATGCAGGTATTGGATGGACATCGTGGAAAAAGAGGTGGTTTATACTAACACGTACCTCCCTGGTCTTCTTTCGGAGTGATCCGGTAAGCAGTGCTATTCCAATGATATAGTATGCTTATGCACTTAATTCTCCTTGAAATTTACTTTTTTTCCAGCTCATGCTTAGATTATCGTTGGATAAATAGAATGTTACTTGTGTTTTTACCAAAGAAATCATTAGACTTATGTGGCATTGACAAACAAGGCACAAGAATATGCACAAAGTGAAATATTAAATGGGGCACGAAGAATCAAAACTTGTCTGTGAGACAATGTCAGAAGTTCAAACCTAAATGTTTACTAAAAGGAGAGAGAGTATATATATATATATATATAGGATTAAAAAAAACCCAACAGACAAGGATTTAGGATAGTAACAGAAATGTTAAGCAAAAGTTAGCCCAGATCATGTCTATGAACATTTTCCTAAACTTGAGATTTGCTTATTCCCAATGTGGTCAAGCTAATTCCACATTGTTGGCCTGGACAGAGATGTAGAATAATTGAAGATCAATTAGAAAATAGAAATTCGAGGCAATAGAGACAACAAAAGCTTAATTAGATTAGGATGGTGTGTACAATGTGCTTTGGTAACTATTTATACTTGGGTTACATACTAAATGTTAATCTCAATCATGACACAATTTGAAGTTCTGATATTGGCTATTTAACTTCACTGAGGTTGCATTTGCTCTCACTGGACCATTTGGGAGATTTTGGAAGGATAATATTGAATAGACGAACTAGTGTTAAAGTATCCCATATTGCTTGTTTATGGGGTTTACACGGCCCTATATTCATATAGTCTCCCTCTACCTCATGGCTTAAGCTTTTCGCTTGGAGATTCTAACAACTAGAAAGGTAAAATTAGAGTTCTTGTTTTCAGGTGAAGATAGGGGTGACAACATGTATTTTGATCTGGTTCATCACCTCCTAAATCCCACTCTAACTTCACTTCTCCCTGCAACTCAGGTAGCTCTTCCTATCTTACGCTTACCCTGTATCATCCAGTATGTACACAACAGCAACTTCATCCCTACTCCAGATGTCAAATACATTCCTTGTGAATCCTATCCTGCCTAACTCCATCCTCTGTGCTACCATGAATTTCAGTCTGTTTCTCATTTCGCTAGTATGCAACTAAGAGGTGTAACTTACTGTTGATTTCCACCAAATCAGACAACCAGTATGTTTCCAGTATCCTAATTACTGGAATGGTAAACTTATCTAATCAGAATGAAAATCTGAAACTTGTTCCAATGTGAAGCTTTTTCATGACATAATTTGCTTCTTTTTATCAGTAAAAACAACATTTACAAGGAATATATCTAATATATCAAGCTCTACAAATGTGAAGCTCTATCTAATGATACAATCGATCTCCCTACACCTGTTTAGAGTTACCTTGCGTTTCCCCTCTTGGACTGGGTCCAACGTAAGTTTCCTATGGGACATTTAAGTTTCCATTGCCTGTTGAATATTGTCTTGAAGGCAAGCCATATGTTGTCACGTGCAATGTCCTAATTAGAAAAAGACCTAGCATTAATACAGAATAGGAATCTCTATTCTCATTCCTTTCCCTCTCACCTGGCTATCTAAGGACACAATTTGTCTCATCAATCTTCCTGCACCTGTTTAAAGTTGTCTTTTGTCCCTTCTTGGAACGGGGCAAGTTATTTGAGCCAATTGTCCTTGCAAGGCAAGGCATATGTCATTGCTGCTGCTGATCTTGATCTTTCTGATTTTTGACACATGTTGCTTGATTCCAGCTTGTTGCGAAAAAGTGCTGCCTTCAAGTTTCAGTATAATCCCATGTCATAAATGGGTAGGCTATGCCAATGGAGTTAACTCAAATAATTAGCACCTTAATTTGGAAAGAATCTCCAACTGTCAATGCCAATTACTTCAGCGAAGAGATGTCCATGTTGATCATTTATAGAGAATAAAGTCTTTATTTTTTATGCTGCTTAGGCACAATGCACCCCTACAACTCATGGTGAGGAACAGTCAATTAACATTCTTTGTGGGCTCTATAGTAATTCTACATCTTAGGACCCTTAATGTCCAACCTTATTATATGCTTGTTCAACAACATTGAGGGATTGAACACAGGGAGGTTTGGGACCGGTTTAGGTTATTGTCAAGCAGTCTTGTTTTACAAGTCTTTTCCTTGACAAACAACTTCGAATTCATGCCATGCCTTCCTTCATACTAGCTTGACAACAACAACATTGATGAACAAGTGAGCGAATGTTAGTAATACAATGTCACTTGACTAGGTGGCTGCCATTTTCAACGCTGCATGGATCTTCCAGCAACATGTTGCAATCACCTTAACAATTTCCACTCCCATTATCGTTGTCTTACAATAAAAGATGACAAAAAAGGTGATAGAAGCTACAATTATACTGCTTTGGACCCTTTGGAGTATCCTGTGGGTTTTGCACTGCTGATGTATTCAGATGGACAAAAACTTTCCTTCTATAGGAATAAAGGGAAACCCTAAATTCTTCGAAGTATTTCAAGTAATGAAGGCTAGCAAAGTACAAGTTTGGTCCTTGCACAATTTTGGTGCAAGTCAAATTGCTCATTGCTAGAGCATTTCAATATTAAATGATGCCTTCACCTAATATTTTAAACTTGTGGGAAAATAATTATATAACATCGTATGGAGCACGGTGCTAAGCTCAAATATCCTCTTATTATTATCTTGTCTAATTCATGTCTATTCTTCTATTATTGTTTTCTTGCCTCCGGTTATTTGTTTGATATGGTCATGTGCACATGCGGTATCCATGATGGGGGTGGAGTTAGCATATATGTTTGATATGCATTATCAGCAGGCAATTTTCTATTTATTCTACAAGAACTAGAGTGCCGGTGGTCACAGTTTCTCGATTCTCTTTCTCAATCATGGCGATTTCCATTCTTTAATTTGATGACAAAGCCCAGCCTCCGGATTTGGGGGAGTTCATGGGCATTTTAATATTAAATTACACCTTCAACTGACAGTTTTTTAAGCTTTTGGGATTCTGTTGTCTAAACAATCGATGGCACGCTATAGGCTAAAAGAACAATAGGTAGGATTTGAGAGTTCTAACTATTGCTCATGGTGAGATGGTTCTATAATTATATGTTTAGAGTCAGGTAACTACAAGATTTAAAAATTTGAATTTTTCATAAGATAGTTATTGGCGGTTATAGCTTGAATCAATTGCTAAATTCTCTTATATGCGTTATATCTCAACAATGCGGGCAAGGAACCTTTGTAGCAAAATTCAATTGATGAAGACTGTCTAGTAGAGTCCAAAATGGCTGATTATGGTGTAGGTGAAATCTTGATGCATTTTACTATATCAAAAAGCCAGATCTACTTGCTTTGTGTACTTGAGGTGTTCATCATTTCAAAATATGTGGGATTAGAGCAATGTTTGTCTTTGTCATCTGATGGAAAACAATGTATGTTGATAAGGTGACACGTGAGTTTTGCTTCTCCAAAATGTTTGCTTTTCTCTATGTCAGAATCTTCCCTCCTTAAGACTCATTTCTCGTCCCCTTCGTCTTATTTTATCTCGAGGCATGAGAAGATTCATATGGTTATTTAAATTATCCAGAGTGCCATACCCCAGAAAGGAAGTGAAGTGAATCTGACCCTTGGTGGTATTGACCTCAACAATTCAGGCAGGTTGGCTTGCTTGCTCCTACTTACAGTGTTCTGAGTACCCAATTTCTTCTCATCGTCATCCTCAAGACTATAATCTGAATATAACCATTGCTTAAAATCTTTTTGATTTCTAGTGTGGTTGTCAAAGCAGATAAAAAGCTATTAACGGTGCTTTTTCCTGATGGTCGAGATGGACGGGCCTTTACACTTAAGGTGCGTCTTTTCACGTTTACACGTTTAGATTGATTTTGAATGCACTCTTTTTGTGTTTCTTTAGCCTGTGACTAGTTTCTAGAATCTTATTCTCGGGATTGCTTTCAAAGAGCTTTTCCCTGCAACTGTAATGATATGCAATATGCAAATTTACATTGAGAATTCCTTGCAAATGTAGATTGGTGATTGTTTGCAGCGACATTGCATGGTTCGTTTTCTAACTTTGCCTGTTTGAGAACAGAACACCAAGACCTTAGTAGTGATGACTGCATGAGATGGTTTTTCGCATTATACATTGGGAGAGTAATATTTTTTCAACTTTAAAATCATAGACATTTCTGGAACACTTCTAACAGAGGCACAAAAGGTAATACAAAAGTGTGTGGACTATAAAAACGAGTCAAAGCGGTTTCATGTTATATGTAATATAAAGCATCGAACTTCCGAGGTTCAATAAAAAATCAAGATATGGAAAACTTCAATAACAATTCGATGGAAAATTGGCTTTATAATATTTGAATGAAAAGAAATTCTTTCTTTACAATAAACCCGCAAAGTTTCCTCTGATATGAGTTACTACTCCTCAATCACTTATACTACCTTCAACATTGGACTGCATTTTCGAACTGAAATGGAATATGACTACCGAAAGTAGGATCCTCCAAATTCAGGGGTTTAAGAGTTCTATAAAAACGTTGTCAACATAGTTGTTTCTTTTTTTCTTCTCTAAAAATCCAAAGAAGAGTACGAGTATGAATTTACTTGTTATCAATGAGAATAATTGAAGTCGTGTATTCATGCTAGGCAATATTGCTGGCTATTTAGAACTCTATGGAAGACTGAAGTATTGTTCAAGCACTTGGTCTTTCTATCATGTCTGTAGAGACTGTTTAGTCCAGATTTGCAAGTAACAATGCTCAGGCGACTCTTTGGGATCTCATGGTCATTTTTGTGGTTTTGTATTGGAGAAAACATGTTTATCTGTTATTGTATTTGTATAGGGTACAAATAATTGTAAGTAGAATGCCTCTAACGGTAAATTGATGAGGGCAAAGTCCCGCATTGGGCAATTATGGAGATATTCTTATAATGGGTTGGGTTCCCTCTCCTGAAAAGCTAGCTTGTCAGGATGAGTTCTTCCACCCCTTGTAACTCATCAACATGGTATTAGAGCCACTCTTAGGACACCCGCCCTGGCACTTTATCCTCCGGATTGTGGTCCCTTGGTGGTGGCCCGAGGCTGTTTCCTCGGGGCTGTTCTGCGAGGTCGCAGAATCCCGAAGAGGGGGAGGATGATGCAGGCAAAGTCCCACATTGGGCAACTAAGGAGCTATTCTTATAATGGGTTGGGTTCCGTCTCCTGGCAAGCTGACTTTTCGGAATGAGTTCTTCCACCCCTTGTAAATGAAAATCTATTCATTAGAGAAAATTAAGGGTATGCAACCTATATCCAACAATAGTTACAAGACAGAACATCCATAAACTTCACAAAAGATCAATACTCCGAGCTGCCACTAAAAAGACCAACTAAGAGAGTGGACATCCATTAGTCCTTTACAAACTTAATGGCTTCCCTTACTGTCCTTCCTAATGATCCAATAAAGGAAGAGGTCATTTAACAAACACTTCTTTCATCTGAAGGCAGGTACAGCATGTATGGGAACATCTTGAAGAAATAGATGAGGGGATGCTATTCTACCCTACTAAAATGTGAAAAGTGCTTCATTACATCGGAGATTAAAATTCCATCTTGAGAAGGAAAGAATAAAGGCCTAGGCATTATCAAATATCTGTTGTCAATAAATGTTTTAGTGGTGTCTTTATTAAGTGCAAATGCCACATAGGGTTATGTTGCAAATGCATTTGTGAATAGATGTTTCAAGTGGTGTCATTGTCAAACATCCATTTGTGAATAGATACTTCAAGTAGTGTCTCTGCCAATTGCAAATGCCTTATAGGGTTATCTTGTAAGTGCATGTACATGATGAATTAGTCCATCCTTTAATCTTTACTGCCTTGAACATAAACACTTCATTTTTAAACAAGAAATGTAAGTTGTAAAGAATCTTAAACTGGACATGATGTTGGTCTTAGACAATACAAGTATTTACTCTTGTAGAGGTATGGAAGTAAACGAAAGAAGTGAAATTGCATAAAGTTCTACCATGCAACAATTCATGATTGTGGATGATATGGAAGTCTATATAGATCCTATAGCTCTGTTGATGGGTCTCTTTTGGCAAGATTTTCTGGCAACTAAAATGCAATTCTTGTAAGAATTGATCTGCTAATTAGTGACCTTTAATGTTGTGGTGCTTGATTTAGACTAAAAGTGATGAAAAGAATGAGGGAGTGTATTTAAAGTTTAGGGAAACTATGCAAAACTCCCTGAACTTTTGGGGGTAGTACACTTTTTTCCTGGACTTTCAACTGCTAAGCTAAACCCCTAAACTTTCTCTTTGTTACAAAACTTAAAGCTCTGTTATTTTTTCTGTTAGCATGTGCAATGCACATGAACTTTAAGGGGTAAAAGCATATTTTTCACCTCATTTTTTTAAGGAAATCTCTCTTTTACCCTAAATTGCTGAGGAAAAGGAAAATATAGAATTTTTTTAATACTATTGTCTTTATATATCTTTTCTGAGAATAATACTTTAGTTAATTTATTTTCTCCTTTTTCTTTATTTTTTTATCTTTTTACAGAAATAAAAAGTAAAAGAGAGATTCCTTACCAAAAAAAAAAAAGTAAAAGAGAGATTTCAACAATAATAAAATGAGATGAAAGTACACATTTATCCCTTAAAAGTACTGTGCATTGTTCATGCTAATGGAAAATATGACAGAGGGTTAACACTAGTTCATGAGGATAATGTGTAATTGAAATTATAGGGGCAAACGTGCACTACCCCAAAATTTGGGCGAGTTTTGTGTAATTTATTTTAGAATTCAAAATATTAATAGTGTGCACTTTGAAATTATTAGCACAGGAAATTACATGCACGCTGTATATTATGTATCTTGTTATTTCCCCTTTAAAGTTATCTTTAATAATATCATGCTTTCTCTGATTTTGCAGGCTGAAACTTTGGAGGATTTATATGAGTGGAAGACTGCCCTCGAGAACGCATTGGCTGAAGCACCGAATGCGGCTCTTGTAATGGGACAGAACGGAATCTTTCGAAGTGATCAGGCTGGTGCACCTGATGGCTCTCTGGAACAATGTATGCTCCAATTGACAAAAATCAATCTCAAATCCTTATCTTCTCTCACAGTATTATATAACTCTGTGGCACGTAGTCTTTGTTGAGCATCTGAGTGTTTCAGTAATGATAAGGTGTCTTCAATTTATATCAGAAGCTTAGTTATTGGATAATGTAGTGATTGCGGGTTTTCGAAAAATATAAGACAACGATAGCTTATTCAACAAGCTTCCTCAGGAGTCTAATCTTTGAACAATGATTAGAAAAAATGCCTGTTTTTTAACAATGTATGAAGCAAAGTAGAGAACTTTTTCAAGTTTTACAATAAGTTGTGGAGAATGATTTTCTGAGAATTCTACAACTAGAATGCTCTAGTTTACATGCTGGTTGCACGAAGTGTCTTGTCTAGGGCTGTTCATTAGCTTTTCTACCGCCTATTAGGAGTAAAAGTCTAGATAGAACGGCACAAATTTGTGACTTTTTTGCTGTTACATATGAGTATTTTGTAAACTGCACTGAACCTAGGAATTTGTTGGTTAAGATCTGGTACCAACTTGATTCTGTCTTATTGCTGCTCTAAACATTGTCAATATATGCTTTCCCAAAAAAAAAAACATTGTCAATATATGCGTTCAGCCATCACAAATTTATCGGATAGATGCTTCATTAACCAATATAATTGCTCATAGCTCACGAATCTTTTCTTCATTAATGCCCTTGAATTATATACTCTTGTTTCCATCATCATGCTAAATTGTCATTGTCTGGTGCTATATTGTCAGTAAAGGACAGAAAGATCATAAAATCAATGGTTGTTGGTCGGCCCGTTTTACTTGCGTTGGAAGAAGTTGATGGGACTCCATCGTTCTTGGAAAAAGCTCTTAGATTCATAGAAGAGCATGGTGAGCTCTATTAATGCTGTCTTCGCTTCTTGAGACAAATCATTCTGAATTATTCATTATATCTATTTGATGGAATCTGTGCTTGTGTCCGGATGAGGTTTGGCATGCTTAACTAATGATGAAGGTATCTCCAGTTTATCTGGAGAGCAAAATGTCGCATCTCAACACAAAATTCGGTGATATAAGATAACTGAATGGAGCATTAGTGCTTTTAATGAACACCTATTCTAGGACAAGATTGTGGCTCACTTCCATCAGATTGTTTCTTCTCTCTTGAAGTGATGTTTATTTTTCAATTAGTGCACTCATAGACGTTAGTTTGAGCATATACATTGAAAGGAAGAACTTCTTTAATAATGTCCTCTTAACAATAAGCACAAAAGGCCCTCTTGTCACTGAGATACCAAACTTGTGCTTGGAGAGTTGTCATAGACTTATAAAGTCCTTTGTGCATTTTGGTGTACACCTTCCAACTATTTAATTTGTTAATGACAATTACATGTGCCTACTCTTTAGTTTGGTATATCGTGGAAGATATTCGTTTTATATCTTCCCTGTTATGCTAGAGTTACTTTTTTAGATCAATACATGTACTTATATCTGATTATTCGAAGGTACTGAACAGGGATTAAAATAGAAGGGATCTTGCGACAGGCTGCAGATGTCGATGATGTTGAGCACCGAATTCGAGAATATGAGCAGGGTTTGTTTGTTTATATATCGTTTTGTTATCTATTGATCAATCTCTGTACGTCTCGATCATGATGCTGAAGATTTATATTATTATGGGTTTCATTTGAGATAACTGGCCTTGATGGTGTTGTATTAAGTTCAATGACAACATTCTCTTATTTTATGTACGTTATCACATAAATTAGTAATGTCATAAACATATATGGTATCCTGAGTGGACAGTACAAAAATTGAATGCTAGGATGGATCTATGCATTCTGTTTAATGATCATGGTTGCCTCAAACCATTTTTACTTTATGATTAGGAAGTACTGAGTTTTCCGCAGAGGAGGATGCACATGTTATTGCTGATTGCATCAAGGTACCATGTTTACTGAGATAGCTACAGAATTATTTTTCGTTGATGTCTTAGAAGCCCTTGTTACGGTTAATTACATTCACTTGTACAAGCCAAGTGCTGGTGTGCATCTGTACAGTGTCGATATCAAATTGAACCGTATAATTGATGCTTCCACATTTTTGTTTACATTGAAACAGTATGTCCTCCGCGAGTTGCCATCATCTCCAGTTCCTGCATCATGCTGTAATGCATTACTGGAAGCCTGCCGTAAGTTTCTTGTTTAGCTGGTGGCTAAAAAATTCATATTCTGTAAAGCTATTCAGTATCAGATAATCTTACAATTATAGGAACTGATCGCGATATACGAGTCAATGCAATGCGCACAGCAATTTGTGAAACATTCCCAGAACCAAATCGGCGCCTATTGCAGAGGTAGTTGATGAAGTATCTTTACTTAAATCCTACCATAATATGTTACGAAAGCTGCTGATCCATTTATGTAGCCCGAAGAAAATTATACTTTAATTGGCTGAAGAAGTCTGATTGATTACGTTCTCATAAAGCCTGATCACAAGTTTGCACTCAACGAGTAACTTCTCAAGATACATTTTTCATTATGGCAGAATAAATTTAAGATCAGGTCCTTTTATTTTTTACTAGTTTGGTTCAACCTGTGATAGTCTGTCTTCATATAATCTTATTTCAGCTGGTTTACTGATGCATCTTTCCAGACTCAATTTGTCTTTCTCTTGTCTCACCTTTCAGAATACTTATGATGATGCAAACTGTAGCTTCTCATAAGGCCGAGAACAGAATGAGTTCTTCAGCTGTGGCAGCTTGTATGGCTCCTTTGCTTTTGCGTCCTCTTCTAGCTGGCGACTGTGAGCTTGAAAATGATTTTGATGTCGGTGGTGATGGTTCTGCTCAACTTCTTCAAGCAGCTGCTGCAGCAAACCATGCTCAAGCAATTGTTATAACTCTTCTAGAGGAGTATGACAAGATATTTGGGGTAAGTTCTAACTTCATGTACCTTTATTTTGGCACATCAGCCCTTTCAGTATGCTTATCTCTCCAAGTTAGAAAGATCTCGAATATGCACATCATCTTTGCTGTCAATAATGATCTTCATTGCACTTCTAACAGCAACCCAGCGTTGATTAACTCTCGAATTATCATGTACCACAACAAATTACCATCACAAAGAAGCTTCTTACAGCTTCAGTTTTCACCTGTTTCCACTTAAATATTTAGGTTTACTTTTATTAAAGCTGTCGCAGCATTTTGAAAGCAGAAGCAACTAAAATAAGGCATTGTCACACAAGTACCTTCTAGATTTTTACTCAAAGGTATTAAAATGCAGAAATCAAACCCCTCAAAAATAAGCTACGTCATCTCTGAGCACTGATGAAACTGCCAGGAACAATAGCATGAGTAACTTCAAGAGTTTTGGTCTATGACAAGTCAATTATCTGTTTGTACCAGGCACGTCTGGTTAAAGTCGAGTAGCTCTAAAGAACTTTTTGCTTCATACATTCTAGTTGCAAAAGGATATGAGATCAAGTCTGGATACCTTATCTTGGTGGAACTAATTTGCATGGTTTTTGGGCATTGTTCCTACAAACCCCGCTTCTCCTGAAACAAATGCCAATTCTCCACCACAATGTTCTTATACTTGTCTTCTTCCACAGAATCAAGATGGGATATTTCTTTTTTTTTTTTGGTAAGGTAAGATGGGATATTTCTTTTGTACTCATAAGTTAGATGTTTCTCTTATCTTAAATTAAACAATGTTTCAGCTCTGGCTCCCATGTGAACCATCTCATCCTAGCCTTTTCCCTAAGTTTTGCGCGAAAGTATGGCTCCATTCCTGATTCTCGTTGGTTACATTTCAAAAATTTCTCATTAGTTGGACATTGAAGAGCTTTGCCCTGTCAAGGTTAATTCCACTTAGAGAATATGCTCCCAATATGTATTGGCTGTTTAAATATCTTCATGGTAGCATGCGTTGTTAATTCAGATTTAGACAACCTTACAGATGGGAATGCTCATCCAGAATCCAAGTCTTTGGACTCATTTAGTAACAATATCAATGAATAAACTGTCTTCTCGCGTTGCTTTGATTTCATTATTATACTTTTAAAGTTCAGAGTTTTCTTGTGTCGAAGTATTATCCCACATCGATTGACAACGGGTCCTAAATGCTCTTTATATTCATGTGGTCTTCTTCCACCCAATAGCTTAAGCTTTTGGGTTGGACTTTCTAACATCTTGCCATTTTGAAGATTCAGACTTTTCATATTTCCTCCACTTGCTCTGAGTAGCTGGTGCATATAGATCAGACATGATCTCTTAGTGTCCATCCTCAATATATCTGGTTCAGATTGCTTTGTTCAGAATTGTTAAGGCCTCTTGTATGTGCTGTTGGAGCTTCACAATTAACTTGTTGCAGGAACATGCTCTATCTCCTGATATATACTCTGACTCAGAAGAGAGCGGAAGTGAGAGCGAGGAGGAAACTGATGATGATGGATCCTATGAGGATGATGAACATGGTGATGTAACCCAAGATTCTGAATTGGAATCTGAAGATGATCTGGCACATACATCGAATGAAAGCCACAGCGGCAGTGACGAGGATGGGGAATATGCTTTCAGTAACAAAACTGATGGAGCTAATGCTCAACATGACAAGGTATTTCCGTACACTAAAACAATCAGCACAATGCTTAATTATGACCAGAGAAACCTTACATTTTTTGGTATCATTAGTAGCCATAGTATGGTGTTGTTGTCTGCTGTCCAAATTCTCTTTTTGCTACAAATAAACAATAAGGTCAGTTACTTTATGGAATAGAACATTCCATTATTCTGAGTCTCTCAGCTCCAGAAAAGCATGCTAGCATAGCTGACATTTATCCTGTTATTGGAAAAAAAGTTAGTGCATATTGTTCAGTGTGCAATTGTTTGTTTTAAAAGTTCATGCTATTAGAGACGGTGTGTTCTCATACGAATGCAATGCTGGAATGACAAAACCCCGGACTGTGTGAAAGAGATATGTGGAGGTGAAAGAATGATTGTAGCCCATAATGCATTGATGTCATAAATGGGTGAAAGGGCAATACAATATAATTGAACTTGAGACTCTGGTCCAGATACCAGATTAAGTAAAAAGGCGAGACTGATTTATTCCAGAAGGTAAGTCGTTACCCACTTGTGTCGGTTAGATTTTATGACAATGCCTTTTACTGCAATATGAGCTTATTTCTTGGCAATTTCTCGTACTCCATATGCCTCGACATATCAATGCTTATTGCAATGCTCGTGAAATATATTATGAAACAATAATCCTCGACTTCTTAGTGTCCTTATAAAAGAATACTTAGTTGAAACATAGGAAAATGGGATCACTCCAGAGTTAGATAGAGAACATAGGGCTGATGACATTCACTGCGTTTGGACCCTTAGTTTCTCCATCAACGTTGACATTATCCCCTCTTCTTTCTCGCGGAAATGAATAAGTGGCATTCCCTCTTTTTTCTGTGAATCAGTAGCATGGAGAAGTTAAACTTCCACTGTGGTTGAGCTGTGGCAATATCAAATAGCAGCATTGTTTGGTAGTATATGGTTATTATCGTAGACCAGTTAGGAGATTTATGTCTCACTGATATAAACGTGTTAAGCTTAAAAATTGCCTCATTTGAAGGTTTGGAACACAAAGTTCTCACTACAACTGCTTTTGTATTTGTACAAGTTTCTTCTCATTTTCCTTTTTCGAAGGGGACTAAGATATGTTTTTAAAGATATGTTGGATTCTTGATTGAGATTGATCGGCTTTTGTTCGTTGAAATAGTTTAATTGCTGTATTGTACTTGTCTATGCAGGTATCTGATAGTTGTACCCCACATTCCTATTCTCCACAAGCAGTTGCTAATTCTAATGAAAAAGAGAAGCTATCACAAAATTCACCTAAGACCTTACCATCCCAAAATGAGAAACCACTGGGGAGTGAGCACACTGATAACCAGCTAGATAACTGTGGCCCATCACGGAAGGATGATGAATTTTATCAAGCACCGGTGGATGATTTTGCAGAAATAAATTTTCCTGGAAAGTCGGCCGATCATGGTCCATTGTCCAATATGAAGAAATCAACAACTATATCCAGTGGGACTGTCCGTAGTGTTAGGCGTCCCGCTGTTTGGGGACGTACTCCTGTGAGTATTCTTTTTAAATGAGAATTAGTCTCTTGCTTTAGGAAAATATTCCCCACATCTCTTACTCTAAAATAGAACGTCAGTTTTATGCCTGCACTGCTGAAATCGTCCTTGAAAAGCCAAATCTTTATTCATTGCAAGTTGTGTTACAATAATGTTGTTTACTCTTGCATCTCCTCTTTTGGCATGAATTCAGGGCAAAAAGAATCTATCCATGGAATCCATCGACTGTGACCTTATTGATGAGTAAGTGATGCAGCTACTGTTTATCGTAAATTATTTGGTAGACATTGTAGTTGAAGTTTTTAATTGAGATAGATGATGTCAATGGTATATTTGTATCTTGCTGCAATTCATCTTGGACTGAAGCTACATCATCTTGTTTGGTCCTTCTGGAGTATAACCTTTATAGGGGATCAGCATGTTTTTGTTTATTACAGTGAATTTAGGAAGCATCTTCTATGTCTGAATCTGCACTGGTTACCTCCAATTTGATTATATATTCCTAATTTGAGCATTTAAAACTTGTATGGATAATATTTAGCATTTTTTGATGTTGGAGTCCCTACTTTTTCTTTTTCTTTCGACCTTTGGTGTATGTAGGCTCTTTGGGAGATTGTACACTACTTAGTTGCATTCGAGCTTATTTGATTATTCTCTTGTGCTTCACTTTTGGATTCTTGGAAAATTAATCAAGGCATGGTCCTATAAGATTGCATAAACCATTAAGTCTGTAAACTTTTGCTGATTGACAAATTTTAAGCTTATCTTTCTTTTCCTATTGAAAGGTGACATTCTATTGGTGCATTTAGACCTTATAAAAATAAGAGGCTATTGTCTTAACAAGAATGATCATATTCAGTCTCCTAAAATATAATAGAAGTTCTTGTATAACCTTTTTTTTTTTTGCTTTGTATCTTCCAGTAATTTTTCCACTGATGACAAATTTACCATTGTAGAGTTGAAATCCAGAGGCTTGAGGTTACAAAGCTTGACTTGCAAGACAGAATTGCAGAAGAGGTATGTGCTTACTCTCCATGTAGATTTTTTTTGCATGAAGCGGTTTTACTTTTATGTTGAAATTTTCTTTTTCTGCTGTAGGCCAAGGAGAATTCAGTTCTTCAGGCAGATTTAGAAAAACAGAAGAAAGCATTGCATAAGCGTCGTCAGGCTCTTGAGCAAGATGTATGTTCTAAACAATAGAAGATTCCTCTACTGGGTGACTTTACATATTGTCTTATATGCAAATGATTTTTGTACCTCTGGTTTCGATTAGGGCCACACAACAATCTTTTAGAAGCACAGAGAGAACACAAGGAACCTAAGTGCAGTGCCTAAATTAAGTACCTGCTCTGACTTTAAGATCAGAAATGTCACTGCTGGAGCTGTTTCTTCGATACAGCACTGTACTGTTCCAATTAGCACATTCACTCATTTAAACTATATTTCAAAATTAATAGCTGATAGCAATAATAATGTTTTATATTTCTGACTAATTTCGTTTTTCACCTTTGTGACCTTTCTATGGAATTCAGAGCATTTTTCCATAACCTCTTGATTAGTTTTTACCTTTTGCATTTTTGTCAAATGATGTTCCTACTTTTGCATAAACCTAATCTGATTGCATTTTGTTGTTGCGAAACTGATTTTGTTGGCGAGTTCATCATTTAATGTGACGTGAAATCTTCTTATAGGTGGCAAGACTGCAGGAACAGTTACAGAAGGAAAGAGATCTGAGAAAAGCCTTGGAAGCAGGGCTTAAAGTAACTAGGGTGCCCGTCCCTGTTGAAGCGAATATCAATGAAAAGGTTGGTGAATTTCTCACTTAACAGGTCTAAGTTCCCTTTTTGTGGGTAACAGGGGAAATCTAAGTGACTTTGATAAAAGGAAAAATCATTGAACTTTGAATCTTGTAGACAAAGGCAGATCTTGAAGATTTAGCTCGGACAGAGGTAGACATCACCAATTTGAAGCAAAAGGTTGATGATCTTGGAGTAGAGCTTGACAAAGAACGTGAAAAGAACTATCATTCAATGCAAGATTTAGGCGATCAACAATATAAAAGTGGAGATGACGGTGTGAAAGTGTATGATTGCCGTTTCTTTAATTGCTCTGCTATTGCATTGACATCTATAAGTGCTATTAGGGTTAAATTTCGAAATAGTAGTGTCTACATGACCTTCTGTCATTTTTTAGTTTCTAGAAAAATTTGATGCTTGAATAGTTTTTGGTTTTTTTACTTTACCTCAGAGAAGTCTGATTAATGAGGCATGAATTATATAGGACCGTCATTATAGAGTACATGCACACATACAAACATATTTGTCTCTTGTTTTTGACTTTTGCTTACTTTCACATTTCTTATGGAATAGGAGGAATACACAGGGCGACATTAAGAATCCAGAGAGTTCATATCTTGCTGGAAGGTCCACGTCCACAAAGGTATGCACACCTCTGTCTCTGTCTCTGTACTCGTGTGTATTTCTCTTCAAAGATCTTTACCAATATACATATAAAGAACAATCATCTTAGTAAGTTGCGCAAGGGATGAATAATTATGACCAAAAGTTTCTCATTATACAATCTTGGGGTCGGACGACAATCTACCTACAACTGTTAAATCTACAAACGTTCGTGGAATTCACCCAATTCTTTAGAATGCTTCTCATTTTATTTTGTCATATTCTTGGGTGGACCAACAACATGACCCCCTACATTTTTGTTGTTTTCCATGAAAGGACTCGAGTTTGGATGGCATGCATACAGAGAATGAGAGTAAGGAAGAGTCAACATCTTCATCAAATAATCATCAACCTTTAAGTCAGCAGCCATATTCAGCATATAATAGCAGATCCAGGTACATGGGCCAGCCAGCCAATTCTCAAGCTGCAGATTCAGCAGCAGGAAGGCCTCTTGCTCCAGCATCATCAAAGAGGTCTGGTACAAGGAATGAGGTAGATCTGAGCAACTTATTATGGCGAGTTTATTTTAGCTGCCAAGTTTCTTGCACAAAAAAATCAATATAAATCACAGTGCATGCCTAACATTTTGCCAATTTATGCAACAGCCCTTTTTTCTTCAAGAACACCTGTCATGTCAAATTTGTGTATCACTACATTCTGTCCGTTTAGTCATCACAACTCATTTGCTTAATAAGGGATTAAATCAAAGCAATTAAAAGGCATAAAAAAGGAGCAATTAACACCTTGACGAGAGCCAAAGTGCACTCCTTTCCTAACAAAAGAAATGTTAAGCAGTTTAACTTGGATCGTATGCTTGCAATATGAGCTAGGCAAAAATTAAACATTGTCAAAATTTGGCTTTTGAAATACTCAAGTGGTGCTGCTTCTTTTTTGATAGTTGTGTTGTTGCCTCTTTGTTCATTCCTTCTTGCGTTTGTTCTGGCAGAAATAGGATAGGACATATATTTGGTCTAGAATGTGAAACTAGATAGAGTGGTCAGCATTCCTCCAATTCTTTCCAATGTCGCGGCTTTCTTTTTTTCTCTATGAATGAGCAGGGACCGAACTCGACAACTTCCGCATTGTCAAAGTTGACTACTCGACTGAACTTCTTAAAAGAGCGGCGTACTCAGATTGCCAATGAGCTCCAGAACATGGACAAAGGTCGAGGTTCCTCTCCAGCTGTGGAGGTTCTAGAAAAAGGTAGAGCATCGGAATCTCAATCTGCAGAGATTCCTGGTACAGAATCAGATGGTTCTTCTAGGTCAATTCAGGACCCGGGAGATGGGTTGGGGAGAGAAAATACTTCACTAAATCGTGAGAAATACAAGAATATAACTAGTCAGGATGCCGACAGAGGAACAAGATTAGAAGGCGAGCCATCACAAAACACAAGCAGAAATCGGGAATCAGATGTCTCTTCAAGGACAGGTCCTAGATGATGTAGTGTTACCGTTTGATAACATGGCGCCAAACTCGCTGCTTTCATTAACATCCAAGTTTAACTGGGCATTGGTTTTTGGGCACTAACATGAGGAAGTAGGACGCCTACACCACGAGGTTAGGATCCATGTCAACGTTTTAGGAGAAGGCAAAGACCCGGGAATGTGCTCCCAAAAAGCTGAAGACAATACGAAAGTCCGAGGCTCCTTTGGGAACCTGCAGGCCGAATTCAAGTATTAAAGGTACCATCATTCATCTTCCAGGAACATCAGATTGAGCCGATGACTTCATAGCGTCGATCCTTGCTACTACTTCTGCTAATCGTTTTTGGTCATTTTTTTTTATGTGACTCTGAATCTAGAAAGTGTACTGCAAAATCTCGAACGTGCATGGCATTAAATTTCCCGAGAGGTCACGCGCAATCAGAGAAATTCTGCTCGTTTCGCTCTCTTTCGATTTAGAATCTGTCTAAGCATATACACTACTTGAATCGACTTAATGTTTTCCTTTCTTTTTCCTATTCAAAACTGTTGACATGTTTTTCCTTTTTCGAGCATTGCTGTATGTTATGTTGCTCCATAATTCATACGTCATAGAGTCTGCCCAGGAAAGATTCCATACGTCGTAAGTCAAAACTCGAAACTTCCTTCTCAAGGTGAAACTAATTTAATACACAAAAAGGACATGGGTCCTCCTCCTTTGACGTAATATCTGCACGCCAACATCAAAAGTTTTTTTTTCAATTTGGCCTCCCTCTTTGGTCGTCTCCTACTTCTCCTTCCGGACCAGAGTTCACCAAACTCACAAGTTTTGGACATGGCCTAGATCCAATTTCGGCACGAAGATTATTATACTCGTCATAGAATATGATTCTTGTCGATCTTTCCGTGGCTTCTCAACATCGCCTAGGGCTATAAAATCTCGCGCATGCATTCATTCGGTTGAACGTGCCCCCGGATGCGAACTGACACTAGGTTTATTAAAATGGACATGATGATGTTTCGTTCTTGGTTAGATGATATTTAGGATTAATCTTTGCTTAGAGTCAACGGGATGCTGCAACTAATGCAAGTTTTGCGTACTATAGTATAGTACGGGCTATTAACATATGATTAAGATTTCCCTCCGTCCATTATGTAATAGTAGTTCATGTGTTGAAGCAAATAATTGCAAACCCCCCTATGCTTTCTTGAAATGAAGAAGTAGATGCTCCTCCTAAATAGTACTAGGAATGAAATATGACTGGCATTATTATTCCATCTTTACTTTTTCTAGCATCGAGAAATCTCCGTTATCTTAGTGATTATATCTTTTAAGTAGTTCTTGTTAGATTTTTTCCCCTTTTTATCTATTGAGTTCGATGGATGTAGTTGGCGTTTTATTTTAACTCGGCACGTCCGAATTGAATATCATACTTATTTCCAGATTATTAAGAAATCTCGACTCTGATTTTCTCGTTTTTTTCGTTGAAAAAAAGAATCAAACCACTTGATACCTTCACAAGATACAAATACCGACACGTGGATTTCCATATAATTTTTTCTTTTAAGTTTTTGAATTTTGAATGTTCTCTTTTGGTTTTACTTAAGTAAAAAACAATCGAGCCCTCTCGATCATTGCTTTTACTTATACATATCTTAGTCATAACTTTCCTCATTCATTCTTGATTTTATGTTCCCCATTTTTGGTAGTGACATGACATCCATATCTAGTCCCAAATATTATCCATAAAATTCTCTTTTGATTGATTGATTGATTTATAGACCAAAAATATAAAATTAGCGAATCAACTTGCCCGGAGACTGATGATAATCCTCATGATTAAAATGAGATGCATACTCAAAACATTAGGTGAGCCATCAATCATCAGCATCTCCCATCTTGCCTACCATACCTGATACCATCAACTTTGCTGTCCCGGCCAATCCATCTCCGCCGTCCAATCTCGGTCCCCACCAAATCTTCAGATCCAATCTTGACCGTCCGTCACCTTTGCATCCAATTTCAAACCACGTGCAATTAAACCGAACCAAATCGAGCCGCTCTGATTCCGATCCCAATACAAGGACCAATTCCACCAACCGACAAGAATACTTGATGATCGAAGAAGAGTTCACGCTAAAGTGAAAAAAAAGGGCAAAATTCCCCCTCGAGGGACATGTTTAACGAGCATCGTGTGTATCGAATCTACTCTATCTGAACCATCAGATCAAATAGATCTCGCGAACGACGCACGCCTTTAATTGGCCGAGATAGAGTTGGCTCACGTGCTCTGTTTACATCTTTTTTATGGTGCCGCAAATAATATTTATTTTGGTACGGGATTTTCGCACTTAGTAGGATCAAAATGGAGCGATACATGTATAACGTACGGCAACCATAAATGCATCCGTTACATGAAAAAATAAAAACTCTCTCCCCTCCTCTTTAATTTTCCACCGGCAACGCAACCTCGAAATTCCCTCTGTCCTAACGTACAGAAAGAATAAAAAACTGATTTAAAAAATAAAAGAAAAGAAAAACAAACAAAATTTATCGAACTCGAATCTTATTTCCGCATCTTCTTCTCCTTCTTCTTCTCTCGACTCCCCGAAATTCTCCGCCTCCGCAAACCAAAGATTCGCTCCCGCCGTGCGATTCCCGCCCACCTCTTCCGCCTTCCCAAGCTTTACCTCAATCCGCCGGCGAGGCGGCGAAGAGAATCCCCGCATCCTTCGGCGAAAATCCCCGGCGCCGGACAGCCACCTCCGATTCGCCGCCGCCGGGAAGTTCCGCCCCCGCCGCCGCCGCCGCCGCCGCCGCCAATCGAGCGCGTGATCGAAGCGATCCCCGCTCGGTCCTACCCTTCCGCGGTCCCGCGCACGGGTCGGAGAATCTATGTATGGTGATCGGATCAGAAGAGTACGGCCTGCGGACTTCGCTGGATGCTTTTTGGGGCTGGGGCTGGATAAATGCTTGTAGCTGGGGATCTAGGGTTTTCGAGCCTGGTCCTGGTGCTCTGCCTCGCCTTCCCCGTGCTGCTCGGGCTCTTCGTCCGGCGGAAATGGAGCCTCGCGGCGGCCAAGAGCGAGGAGATCAGGCGGCTTCTCGTCCTGGCTTCCGAAGAGTCCGCGCGGGCCGAGCTTGAGGCCTCCGCGAGCTACGGCAGCAGCGCGGCGCCGGCGCCGCCTCCTGTTCCGCAGGGTTACTACTACTGCGCCGTCTGCTGTTGCCCTACCACGACCCGCTGCGCTCGGTGCAAAGCCGTAAGATACTGGTACGTTTTTTTTTTTGCTGTGGGAGATCGGTTTATTTGTATGTCATAAGCGTTCGCATGTAGGGTGTTGCGAGCAAAGGCGTATTGGAGTCCGTGGGTTTTGTCGGTGAACTAATGGTAGAATTGCTTCTGGGTTCCCTTGGCATTGCAGGAATTGATTGGAAACTAAGGGGATTAATTGCATTAAGAAATTACTTAGTTTGCCGCAAAATGCAATTTTCAAAGCCGCTTAGTGCTTGAAGAGTCTGTCCTGAAGACCTTATTTGTTTGCCTTGTTGACTGAAATAAGCATTATAGATAGCACCTTGATGCACGAAAAGATAAGCTTGAGCTATCGTTGCAGCTTTGACGAAAGCTTGGAGTTACTTTTAGACATCTTGTTAGTCGCAGCGGTAAAAACCTGAGGAACATTGTTGCATTCAAACACTCTCAAACAATCGTTTTGTTGAGTTGGATGCTTGACTGACGTTCAATTTCCCATCCATGAGTACTACGCACTTATTGTCTTCATGATTAAGGTTGTCATTGCGTTGAAGCGTTGCAAAGTATGACCTTTTGGGATAAGCTATACTGGTGGCATGACGATTATTTGGTATTGGAATCGAGACATTAATTAGATGAAGCAAAGTGTCGTTAATTAGTTCTTAGGAAATGCCATCTCAAGTCGAATGATATTTTGTACTGAGATGCATATAATCTCTTGCTAGAGCTGAAGAGGTGGTTCGTGAACTGAGGTAATATGAACTTTTTGTAGTTTATCAAACGTGAAGTTGGTCCTTAGTCCACATTTATTTGCTATAACTTATGAACAGAATTTGGTGACGCAAAGTAATGGAGAAGTATTAATAACTATGTGAAGTTTAATACCAGTATCACGAGGAAACAACTCATGTCTTAGAGACGGATGTCTCATGCTCTTTATTTCCATCTTCCTGATTTTTGAGCAGCGATGATAAGTTTGCAAATATGGATCGTTTCCTTTTATCTCTTTGCTAGTGTCTAAATTCTCATGCTTATTTTGTATAAGTTATCTTGCTATTCTCCAAATACTAATTTCAGCATCTCCATGAATTAGTTCTGGCAAGTGCCAAATCATACACTGGCGGCAAGGACATAAAGAAGAATGTCGTCCTGTGGAGGCAGGGAGCCATTTTGATGGGAAGGATAATAGGTCAGGACAGGATACATATTATGGAGAGACATTGGAGAGCAAGGCAAAGCAGAGTGCTAAGCCAAACGTATCATTCAGTGATGAATGCGTAAGGGCTCAATCCCGCTGCTCTGAAATATCACGTGCTAAGGATGATAAGATCTCAATTGAGCTTCATGATGTAAATTTTTCTTCTGAATCTTCTGATGCATCCTCCCCTGGATTTTCCTCCTCTGCTACAAATAGCGATTCCTCCGATGATACTTCTGCCTGTGAAAGCATTAATTCAGATGATTCAGGGAGGTTAGAGGAACGTTTATCATCTGATATTGCGCATAAGATATCTGGCACTGGTGGTATCAAGATCAAGGAACAAGCTGAGCCACTTTCTCCTAAATTTGCTAGTTTGGTCGATTCTCTTGCGAGTTTCAGAAGCTCAAGTGAATTGCACAAAAGTAAGAGCGGTTGTATTGATGATCAAGTCCAGGGCAGGTCAAGCAGTCATTCACATTCGGGCTGTAGTGGCTTGCACGAAGGTTCAATGGCTGAGCCATCTAGACACCCTTCTGGCTTCTGGAACACTCTGAACCATCCAAAAAATGTTGCTCGCAATGATTCTTCTCATTCCAGTATCAGCAAAATTGGTGCCTGTGGGAAACCTGATTCTGGATCTACTCTTAGGTTTTCTTTTAACTTGTCCAACGATACTCTCTGTCCCGTCGATCGGCGAGATTTTGAGATCTCAGCTAAGAAACCTGAGAGTGGATCTGCTTTATCTGAAGGGCCAAGTGCAGATGGTTCAAGGGCCCCTAAATCTCCGTCCACAAAAGGTGAATGCCCCAGTCATGTTGCTGATGAAGGTTGCAGTGATTCACATGTGTCAAAATTTAGTGCCGGTGAGTCTTTAAGCTCTGTGAAGGGCAATGTAACTCCTAGCAAGATGGCGCCTTCTTCAAGAGTGGATGCTCATAAATCAAAGCGCAGTGAAGCCGGATGCATATCGCCTTCTAAATTTGATGTTCATGGATTTTCTGGGTCTGATTGGCATTCATCTTCACGTGCCAAATTAGAGAAAGTTTGTGAGGGTCAAACACATGCTCCTACATCGTCTCATGTTGCAGCTCATCTTCCAAACACTAAAAATGGCTTGAAAACTTCAGTATGGAGAGTGCTAGATCAATTTAAAGGATCGGTGATGTCAAAGCACCACCGATTAGGAGCTGGGAGTGATATACCTGGAAGATGCAGTGACAAGGTTTCTCATTATATTGCAACCTTTTTCTTGTTGCTTCTGCTTCGTTTTTTGGGGGGCCAAATATTGTTCTTTTTCATGCCAAAGTGTTTCCGTTGAATGTGTATTTATTCGTTCCTTTTGCAGGGTATATTTCCATATGAGTTATTTGTCACACTCTATACATGGAAAGGTGTGGAATTGCATCCCCGTGGCCTAATAAACTGTGGGAATAGGTAATGGTATCTCTCCAGTTCTTTGAAGGACAGCTAAGAGATTTGATGATCCATGCTGCTTGGTTCTGATAATCTTGGTTGCTGAATATCTAGATTCTTTTATCTTGTCCTTGTTTGCTTAGGATTTACTTGTGCTTTACCAAAATAAGTAGACCGCAACACTCTTATCTATATTGGTAACTGACACTGTTCCACTTCTATATGAATTTGACATCAGGTAATTCACATGAACGAAGCTCTTATTAGTCATATCTAATATTTGTAAAGAGTCAGAGTGCTACCGGTAATTATTCACATAGCAATGTTCTTATAAAAAAGAAAGAAGGGCATGTTTGGTTGCCCGGGTAAAATGCCAGATGGGATAGAAGTAATCCTAATCGGTGTTTGGATACACCTTCAAATTGGGATAAACCCGAAAAGCTTATATGGTCCGCGAGGGTGGGATAATAAAAATAAACTCGAAAAAATAACAATTAGGCAGAACGCATAAAGCATCGCTGGCTACTACTACCCCACGGTGGTCGCACCCCTCAGGTGACGCGTGGTGGTGGCACGACTCAGATGACCACTGTCGGAGCGGTTGCCTAAGAACTTAGCTCCACGATTGACGCGACCCCCCTCGCTTATCTGTTTCTGTTCAGCCTCGCGCTGCTCCTTGAGACCACCATCATGGTGGTCGCAATTGATAGGCGACCACCGTGACAGTGGTGGCCTTGTGCAGCAAGATCCAGATTGAGGTCTGGATCTCGATCTGTACTTTTTCTCTCTGTCATGGTGGTCGCCTGCAACCACTGCAATAGACGCGACCACTGCCACAGTGGTCGCCGCAGACAGGCGACTATGTTGCTGTTGGTCCCTGACGAGTGGGCGGACCTCTGCACCAATGATGGTCCAACGACAGTGATCCAGCAACCGCACTCCCTGTTTCTTATTTTTATTTTATGGTGTTTTTACTTATTAAATTAAATTATTTGAATGGTCAGTTTTAGAATTATATCCGCCATTATATCTGATGGTTTACCAAACAAAAATAGGATAGAACAAATCCCTCCAGACCTCTGATCCTATCATAAACCTTGTTCTGGCAACCAAACGCAGCTGAGGGCTTCACATCGATGTTATGTCTTTACTGATGATGACTCCTAACTCTTTTATAGCAAGTAAATATATAATATGTTCTTGCATTTTGTAAACACCAAGTAGGCAAAGTAAATTGTTCTGTGCAACCCTAGATTTCTGGATAAGAGTGGACAACATTCTGCTTGAACAAATCAATTAGCATCTTCCTGTGTGACTTGGTTATGTGTGTTTGGCTTCCAGTGATGCTCAATCTATAAAATGATGTCTGAAATTATTGATTTTGTCCATTTAGCTGAAGGTTTTGAATCTGTAAGTGCATCTCTTTCAAGAAAGTTGTGGAGGATTGATGATTTCAAATATGAAATAATGTTTATCTCATTCCTGCAAGTTGTCACTTCAGATTTTTTTCTTTGTTATGGTTTTCTATGACACAAGCCCTTTTTCCTTGCAGTTGTTATGCGAATGCTGTGTTGCAGTGCTTGGCATTTACTCCTCCTCTTACCGCATATTTCCTTCAAGGACTCCACTCTAAAGCATGTAAGTGGCTGGTTTACTTTTATTTGCTCAGCGAGTGACTTTAGATGATTTCCAGTCACGTTCTAATACACCTCACGTACTATCTGTACTGTTCATCTCTGTTGCCTCAGGCGTTAGTAAAGATTGGTGTTTCACCTGTGAATTTGAGGGTCTAATTTTAAGGATGAATGAAGGGAAGTCTCCTATTTCACCTATTGGAATTGTATCCCAGCTAAGAAACATTGGAAGGCAGCTTGGAAATGGGAAAGAAGAGGATGCCCATGAATTTTTAAGGTGAGAGTATACTTCTCTTTTCTGCAGCCTATGACAATTGCATTTGCGTGAATTCTTTTGTCAGTTTCTCTCCAGTGTTGAATAGTGCAACTCCTGATGAGTTAAATCTGGCAGGTGTGCTATTGATAAGATGCAATCTGATTGTCTTGTGGACTCTGGCAAGAAGGTATCTAGGTCAAAGGAAGAAGCCACTCTCATTGGCCTCACATTTGGAGGCTACCTTCGTTCAAAGGTAGTAATCTTGATGAAGCTCTTCCATCTTCATCTATCACATGCCCACTATTCTATTGACCTCTTGCATGCAACTGGGAAGGGCTTTTTTTCTAACTTGAAAGGTTATTATTGATTTGTATGAAATTCATTCTCTAATATGCAGATAAGGTGCACAACGTGTAATTTTGGGAGTTATTACCAATGCATGAAATTCCCTTCTCTAATGTGCAGATACAGTGCACAAGGTGTGATGGTGAGAGTTTGTAATTAATATGCATGGAATTACCTTCTCTATTTGCAGATTCAGTGCACAAGGTGTAATGGAAAGTCGGAGCGACATGAAAGGATGATGGATCTGACCGTTGAGATTGGAGGAGATATTAGAACGCTGGAGGAGGCTCTTCGACAGTTCTCTAGTACTGAAACACTGGATGGAGAGAACAAGTATCAATGTACCAGGTTGGCATGCCTAATCGACTTGTTATTTCATTTGAAGCATTTTCCTTCCAATTTTTCAGGGTATTTGGTGCTTTAGTAAGTAAATGCTGCAAGAGTTTTTACCCTGAGAAAAATTCTTTGAGAATGGAGATCATCCTTGCAGCAGTTAAGTATTGAAAATCATTTGATTTCAATTTTGGCCCCTCCTTGAAGCTGTCATATACTATGGCAATTTTATGAATCAAAAGAACTTACAGAACAATCTTGCTATGGATATTTATTTGTGTTGCACCATGACTCCCAGTTTATTTTGTGTCTTACGTTACTATGAGATATTTTCCCGTCACTGACGTAGATTATGAACTGATGCTTTTCAGTTGCCTGAACCAATTTATGCTGATTTTTCTGGACTTATGATGTACTCTCTCTCTCTCTCTCTCTCTCTCTCTCTCTCTCGTGATTTTTATCAGGTGTAATTCGTATGAGAAAGCTAGGAAGAAGCTGTCAGTACTTGAGGCTCCTAATATTCTTACAATTGCATTGAAGCGATTTCAGGTGTAGTGATTGTGGAGAATAATTATTCATGTTTTCTTTAAATCAGATGTACTTTTATGGAAGAAATACTCTCATTTGCACTTTTTTTTGGACATGCAGTCAGGTAAATTTGGAAAGCTTAACAAGTCCATTCGGTTTTCAGAGATCCTTGACTTGTCACAATTTATGAGGGGGACAAGTGACAGATCGGCTGTATATAGGCTTTATGGAGTAATTGTTCATTTGGATATCATGAATGCCGCATTTTCTGGTCACTACGTCTGCTATGTTAAAAATATGCACAATAAGTGGTTCAAGATTGATGATAGCACGGTAATTCTCATTTCTTTAGTCTAAATTTTCAAGAATATGGATGCAAGATTTTGATTAGATTTTATGCTAATTGCTTCTTAGGCTATTCTTTCTATTGTAAGTTGAAAATTCCAGTTACTGGTCAATAAAGTTGATGCAATAGCTTGCATCCATGAATACATTCACGAGAACTAGAAGTTTCCTATTTTGCATGTGACAGGATTTTTCACCAAGAATTATTTGCTTGACACTGGACTGGTCATAATAGAACCGGGCTCTCAAGCTTATCTGCTTGCAGACATTACGAACACTCTACTTATGGGTATTTCGAGCTGTAATGCTGGGTGATATTCATGTACTTAGCTCCCTAAGGTTGAACGATTGAGATTCCTGCAGTTTTCATTAGTGCTGTATGCATGATACTCTCGCTCGGCTTGATACTTAATTAAAAGTGATGCATAGATGAGTTTGTGCATGCACACATGCATGTTTGTGAGGCCTTTGCTTGTTCGTTGTTAGCTCCCTAAGGTAGAGCGATTGAGATTCCTGCAGTTTTCATTAGTGCTGTATGCATGATACTCTTGCTCGGCTTGATACTTCATCTAAAGTGATGCATAGATGAGTTTGTGTATGCACACATGCATGTTTGTGAGGCCTTTGCTCGTTAGTTGTTATGTTCATTCAACACCTTTGATTTTGAGGGTGTCATTCTTTACTTGGTTTAAGATTTTATAAGCGTTCTGCTATGGATGTGTTTTTCGATTTTTCTTTTCGGTCTGTCCTTTTGACGGATTTAATTGGAGCCAGCATCAATAATGTGAATGCATATTCACTAATCATCATCCTTCTTTATGATAGGTGAAGCCTGTTGAACTTGAAAGGGTGTTGACGAAGGGAGCCTATATGCTTCTCTATGCCAGGTAAAAGATCTTAAAAGCTTTTGCAAAGTGTGAATATGGCTGTCCGATACTCAGACTGAGTAATTGCTATACAGGTGCTTTCCCCGTGCCCCTAGATCATTGAAAGACAGCGTAACATCTGCGGATCCGAGAAACAAACCCATGAATGTCAAGAGCAGCGGAAAAAGTGCCACGCTTAAATTGGGGCTCACAAACTTGAGGAACAACCACCATTCTTCCGCATGTACAAAGGATTCAGTCAGAGCCCATTCTTTTGATTCGGAATTGAACCCGCTGCACAGATATCACCGAGAGGATTCTTCGAGCGATGTTTCTTCCCTGTTTAGCAGTAATTCTGATGAGGGTTCTTGTAGTACAATCAGCACCCAAGATTCTCCCAGCTATGATGACCTTTCTGACTATATATTTGGTGACTCTGGTAGCAGTTGGAGCAGTAGTCCTTGGAGCAATCCCACTGAATCTAACCCGTCTCTGTCCTCTCCATTCCGCTCAAGACATTGATGGCTTTTGTGGTAAAACAGCACATGCCCGAATCTGGTCATTTCCTAACAAGTTGGGCACATCCGAGAATGAGTTGCGAGCTGGTGAATCTGGGAGGTGAAGGATTTTGTTTTGTTTTTTTTTTTTTTTTGGCATTCCGATACCTCTTTATAGTTTAGAGAATTCTTAAGTAGCTGTAGTAGTTTCTGTAGGCAGGCTAACCCGAGGATATCATTGGAGGGTCTAACTGTTTCGCAGATGTAAAATGTAGATCGTATCTGCCAAGCGAGTAGTGAGGAAATTGGACAGATCAATGACCTTGATCATAACATATTGAGGTGGAGAATATGTAAATAAGAGATCCATGAGAAGCTTGTATTTAAGTGCACTTTTTTGCTGCAAAAAAGGATGCCGTTACCGTTCTATCAATGTTGATGCGCTTCTTATTCAAAGTTGCTAATGGTAGTACGATGTATTCATGTAATGTCGAAAGTAGCAAATCCGTTGATGTCGGTTTTATTACCTGTCGGAAAAGTCTCGGGACCCTTTTAGAAGGGAGAAATCGGGTCTTCCAGATCCAGAAATTGGTAATCAGAGTACTGATGAAATCGTAGGAAACTTAAAATTTACTGGCTGAGTTTTCCCCTTTTCCTTAAAAAATAATTGAGGTTGCTCGCTGGCTTGTAAGACATGGCAGAGTGTACGCCGAACTCCTTTTCGCTCATTGTTCGGTCTTGTACCGAGTGTGTTTCCTTTACGGTTGTTCTTCGAATTGAGAATAGACGGTGCTTGCCGAAATGGACAAGCACGCCGTGAGGTTGTCATTGGGACGCCCCCGGTGTCCAACATGGAGATGCAATATGAACCTGTAAGTTTAGTATTGTTTGGAGGAAATTGGATGAAAATGCCAATCAGATTGCATTCCACTTCCTGAAGTAGAATGAAGGTAGTGCTTGATTAGGGGGTTGGCTCAATAGCCATCTCCTTTACTGGATCTTTTGCTAGCTGATGTTAAAGCTCAACCTTGATGATGCCATTTCATTTCGAAGCAATGACATGTTAAGTCCTGTTGGGTGTTGGCCGGCCAGAAGAGAGCGTTACAAAACATGGAGAAGGAACGGCGAAAAGTCGAATCATAGGAACCATCAAAGCATTGAAGGAAACCCGACACCACCGTGTGGGGTCGTTCATCAACGGTCGATCGACTCGAAGTCTAAATTCTCGAGAATTAGACTAGCTATAAATAAGCATTTTATGTTCACGTTACGTCTTGATTGTAAAGCATGAAATGCACACGTAATATAATCGCATCAGACGGATAATTAGACGCGCGAAAATAAGTAGAAACGAGATGAAGATGGAGGGAAGTTAAGGGAAAAGTATCAAAAAAGTCATAAACTTTTTACATTTGTACCAATTTAGTCCTAAATCTTTTTTTGGTGCTAATTCAGTCCTAAACCTTTTACATTGGTGCCAATTGAGTCCTAAACTTTTTTTTTGGTACCAATTCAGTCCTAAACCTTTTGCATTTGTGCCAATTCAGTCCTTCGACACGTGAATAGCTATTAGCCGGAAGGACTGAATTGACACAAATACAAAAGGTTTAGGACTGAATTGGCACAAATGCAAAAGGTTTAGGACTGAATTGGCACAAATACAAAAGGTTTAGGACTGAATTGATACCAAAAAAAAGTTTAGGACTAAATTGGCACAAATGCAAAAGGTTTATGACTGAATTGGCACAAAAAAATGTTTATGACTAAATTGGCACTAATGAAAAAAGGTTTAGGATTTTTTTGACACTTTTCTCGGCTTTTTAAAGTCCCTCTTTATCCCTTCAAATATGGAGGCATTTATAAAACTCGTAAAGAAAACTTATTCTTCTCTTCTGCAAAATTCTTCTGCATATAATTTTCAATCTTTTTCTCTTCTTAGTTCCGCGTGGGATGGTCTTCAACCTCTCTTATCTCAAAAGTTAGTTAAGAGAATGAGACCCTCACACTTATAAAACGATTACCAGCTCATTCCACAATAAATGTGGGATAACCCCAATAATCTTCTCCTCACAAATCGAACCCCGGATCGGAGTGGCAACAACCCGTATCTTGGATCTCCCACCTAACTGTTGAGTCCAAATCTCTTGGTAGACTGGCCCCTAATATTAGTGTTGAGTGGTCGGGGATCTCTGTCACCCCGAAACTTAACTCAAAAGACGATGTTTTTCCTCTACTCTGACCACCGTTTCCTTTTGCAACCGATAACAGTATTTTAACTCGATCTCCCCATTTCTTGTCTCACGTAACTATCTGAATCCCATTCTATTCCCTTCCAATCGCTCCGTCCAAATCGGCTCTTCATTAACCTACAAGAGGCTGCCTAATTCCCATAACAATCAAATACCAACTCCCCACGAGCCCGGAAAATAATCTTGTCGCCGACATGTTCAGCAAAGCAGCAACACAATCTGAGGTGCGCAATAACGACATCAGTTTCATATCGCCTGCAAAATCAATTGATTCCAGATAAAAAGACAAAGTGACTTCCGCTTTTCGGCGCGCAGAGGCGACAACATCGACAGCTTCCGTTGTTGGTGCCTTCGTTTTGTTAAATCCATCTGGATAGAAAGGTGATCCGATTGCCATCTCTTTTCATTTTTCAAAGATTTCTCCGTCTCCTCATGGGCCACTCTCCTAGATCGTATTCATACTCTCGGGAGGATTTCTTTTCACTTGGAAAAATCGAGAAGCAAAAACAAAAAGAAAAAAGAAAACCTCGTCGAGTCAATCCAGTCACGAGCATCCTCGTCGTTACGACTTTAAAATTCCGGTCCAAATCGGCCCCGCTCGCACGTCATTTCAAGGTCTCACGTCCTTGGGAGCACGGACACGTGTTCTAATTCCACAACGGCGTGTAGGACGAGAAGACCGAGCTTCGATTACCTTCCTAAAATTTCTAAATTTAATACTTGTGTCCATTAATCAGTGGACAAACTTCGATCTCTAATTAAACTGCACGAATTGAAACTTTCTTACACATGGTGCTCAAATTAGAAGATAAACCTTATGATAAAGTCACGTGGTGCATAATAATAGGAAGGGATTTTTTATAAGGCCCTTCCTTTCTAATTTGATAGACCACGCCGCTCATGCAAATTGATTTTAGGCCTGACCAAATGTTCCTTTCAGATTCCTATATGATAAAAATATAATTTAGTGCAACATCCTATTGGCAGCCGTCAGAGTCAAACTTCTTTTTAAATACTCTTATTTCTGTGCTCCGCATGATTGCAATTTTTTTATTATTATTTTGTTCATATCTTAATCACGCTTTCCAAGCTTTTAGTAGATGAAAATAATATATAAAAAATGAGAATATCCAAATACACAGAAGAAGAAAAAAAATTACTTATTTAGCCTTAAACCAAATGTAAGGAATGCGAATTCAGTCCTAAACTATCCAATTTTATCAATTGAGTCTTAAGTCTTCGCAAGAAATTCCAATGCAGTCATTCGGGTCGATTCTCGCCGGAAGCCGCTGACGTGGCGGTTCGGTCATCGCTGGCCGACCCACGTGGCACGTTGCCACGCCAGCGATTTCCGACGGAAATTGGTCAGAAGCACTGCATTGGGATTTGGCGAGGATATTTTGGAATCAATTTAAACAACTGAAAAGTTCTGGATTGAATTGACGTCCGTACGATCGATTCACGATTGATCGGACAATTTCCACCTCTAGAATATCTCTTTCTTCTTCTTCTTCTTCCTCGGCATTGAAGAGATAAAATTAAGAATTATAAACAATGTATCAGCCATGGGCCCCGAAAAACTATAATACAAGATATCATTAACATGTGTGTGTGTGTGATCGATTACGCCGTGTACAATTGCGTCGGCTTCGGGATTGGGAGAGCACTCGGGGATGAAAGCGTGGCCAAAAGGCGGTCAACAAAAGCGGCGGCCGGTCGTTGACGAACGAGGCAATCCAAGTTGGCAACGGGGCCCCCACCCCACGACAGGCGTGCGATGACGTGGCGTTTCATCATTAAATTCGTGGAAAAATTTTGGGGCGTACCGAACCGAACCCCACCCCCATCCAACTCGGCGGAAGCTCTTCGTATCTCTTGCTTGTTTGACTTGGCCACGTCCTTTGGTACGATCTGTTCACGCCCCAAATCTTTTACAATCAAAAGTTGCATATCGTGGCACTCTTGCGAAATTTACTTTGAAAAAAAAAATTTATAATTTTGGAAAATTGTAATAATTAAGAATGTCAGATTCGATACCTCAAACATTAAAAAGGGCCGAAAATAAATAAATCACGCCGTATTGACAATTCGCTGCTATTGCTTAAAGAGCGTTTCATTTCGGGGTCCGTTCGATTCACGGACAACGTTTTCTTAAAAATGATTGGTATCATCGCTTAAAAGAATTAGCCAACGGAAATCAACCACTAATTGTGCAAAAAATTTTAAGTGGGCGATGAAAATATTGTTCGTTCATTCGTTTTTGTGAGCGATACCAGCGATCTTTTTTAGCAAAAAATATTTGTCGAACCGACGTAAAAAAAAAGCCGTGTTTTCCCCAATATCGAGACATGTACATTAATTTGTTGTCTGAAAAATTCGGACTAATGGTTCAAAGTCCATCCAGCAGATTGATAGATTAAATTATCGTTGTAGCAACTCAACTTCACCCTTTCCGAATTTGGGTCGCTTAGCCTTCAATTCTCTAATCAAGACACCACCTTTTGATTTCACTTCTAATTAGGTCACTTTGTCCATTAATTGTCGTTGACATTTGGGAAAAGTCGATTTAAAATTCGATTTGAAGCTTTTGGTGGGATATGCAGTGAAAGCTAAACTAAAAGTGGATGATTACGAAGGAAAGTTTTGCACATTTTCTCAATGCTTCATTGATCGGCATAGGAGTGCCTTGATTGATTTGCACAAGAAAGTAAACTTCGATACATGATAAAAACAAAGTCATCAAACGATCTTGATGGCAAAGGATGGAGAGGTATTCCATTCGATAGCTGCACCATGGGGCAGTGGCATGTGACGCAACGAGTCAATTAAAAGTAAATAACTCCAAAATTTAAGTATCATGTAGGATGAGATACATATCACACGGATGATATGCTTTTGACTAACGAGTTTAATTGGTGTAATTGGAACCGAACTAGACCGACCCTACCCAGCTGGTTTTGGTCCGGTTCCCAATTTCAAATTCTTGGAACTGGCTATTACAGGTCTAGTTCCCGATTTTGGGTGTGGAACCAAACCGGAGAAACCCTAATTCTCTCCTTTTAGTTTTGCCTTGCATTTCGTATTTTGTTGTTGCCGCCTCTGCCTCAAGTTTCTCTCTCTCTCTCTCTCTCTCTCTCTCTCTCTCTCTCTCTCTCTCTCTCTCTCTCTCTCTCTCTCTCTCTCTCTCTCTCTCTCTCTCTCTCTCTCTCTACTATGCTTCGCCTACTTTTTCACATTTCCTCAACGCGAATCAATCATCTGAAGCTCACGATCCTCTTGTAGATCGGTCAGTCAGCTGTACAAGGAGAATCGAAGGGACTCGAGCTCCATTTCTCTTTTTTTAGCAAATATAGAGGTTTTTCAGAGGCATTTGTGTTATGTAATTGAAAAATTGAAATAGCAAGCAACACTCTCAAGGAATTAAAAAAAAGAGAAAAAAAAAAGGAATTGGCAAGTTCCCCAATAGACTTTGGAACCAAATCGAATAAATAGGGTCAGTTCTCGAGTCTACAGGGTAGGTTCCACATTCCAAAAGTTGATAATTGGTCTCGATAGGGTAGGTTCCAAATCTGAAATCTACCCACCCTAAATCTGCTCACCCATAGTAATTGTTCACTCTCTCAAATCATGAGTATATACGGTGGTTTATGCTACAATCGCTCATTCAAAATACATATAAGTAAACAACTAATATTAAATTTTAAATATGAGAATTAATTTCTCATATAAATATTCACATGACACAAGTTCCTTGACCTTCGCATCATCAAATTAAAGGTAACCAATCTATCATGTTTTTCTCCCCTTTTCTGAGCTAAATTTGCAAATTCTAACACAAATTAATATGAATTTCAAAGGTCACAATACAATAAACTTTTTGATGAAATTTTATACTCCTATCATTGGCATAATATTCTTACTTCTAGCTTGGGTATCGAAACTCCCAACTCCTCTGATCACCATGATACAAGCAAATTGCCTCTTCATGTGTATCGAACAAGGCTCTACCCACAAGATGGCAACTATAGCTTTCAAGGTTAATATGATGGGCGACGTTGTAATTTGTCCAAACTAAGAAGTTTAACCGGTCAGCCAATCCCTTAAGGGGGTTTCAAGCATGTATGGCCTTGTGCTTTTCTTCGTCATTCTTTTTATTGATGCTGTATGGCCCTAGGTTGCATTTGATGGGTGTGAGAAAATGTCCCGAGACGAGGGTAAGTATTCATATATAAAGGAGGAGAACAAAACTATCCCATCAAGAGGTTGGAATGGTGTTATTTTATCAAGACAAGATAAGGAATAGGAAGAGTCCTAACACAAGGGGGAGAACAACATGGCAAAGAGAGGAGAGAATCCATCATGTCGCCACAATTGAACGGCGACCACCCTCACGACGGTTGCACCAGATATAGCCCTCTCTCTAGGAATCTTCTCTCTCTCTCTCTCATCGAATCTCCCTCTGCTTTTCTCTCTCCCTCCTTGGAACCATGCTCAAGGGGGCGTGATTTCAACAAAAACAAGGGAGCATGGCAACCACTGCGAGGTGGTTACGAGCTGACCATGCTTGCCTTAGTGGTGGAAGTTGGTCTTTATGGTTCAAAGCCTAGACATTAAGGATAATCGGTTCCAAGGTAGTTTGATTCCCACATTAGAATTAAAAATCAACCCACTTTGGAACCGGGATTGGATTAGTAGGGTCGGTCCTTATTTGTAGAATTGGGAACGGGTCACCTGGTCCAGACCGGTTCCCCAGTAAGTTTCTTTTTCTTTTTTCTATTCCCTACAAGACTATTGCTCAAGACTTAAGAGAGATGAAGAAAGAGTCTCATCACTGGGTCTTCTTGATGGACTATAAATAGAAAGTAAGAACAATAAAAGCAATAGAGTGTGACCACTATTGCATTTTGGCATTGTAATACAGACTCCAAGGACCCACTTCATATGCTTCTTTCACACCGTACTCTATTTTTGTTGAGAGGCGAGACTCGAGACTCAAGACGGCGTCGAGCGAGAGGGACTGAGAATGGGCGAGACAGACAGGGACTGAGTGTGAGGCTTGAGCGGCGAGATGAGAATAGGTAATTAGGGTTTTGAGAAGAGCACGAAATTACACATACAACCCCAATGTTTTGTAATAATAAGAATTATAAATATAAAAAAACTATCGATCCGATCTGAGTGATTCGGTCCACAGTTGAAATCGGGAACCGGACCGATTTTCACCAGTTCCACATTTTAGAAACTAAGAACCACCCGGAACTGCCAATTCGATCTAGTTCCAATGCTCACCCCAACCAAATATTACACCCCTCTTTTTACTCATTTTCTATTTTTCAATCCAATCCAATCCACTCCTATATTATGTTATTCTTCCTCTTATATAATCACTTCTTGTGGAATCTTTTTCCAATGTAAAAAAATAGACATTTTATCAGTCTTTCTGATAACGATTTTCATGGTAACTCCTACGGTTCTTCAAGGATCCTTTCATGCATCAGGTCAGAAAGATATCGAGAAAAATTACCATAGGATCGACTGCATCATGCATGGCATATTTCATATTCAGTATTATTGTATCAGATGAGAAATAGCATGTCAAAAATCTCCCCAAGTTGAGAGAGAGAGAGAGAGAGAGAGAGAGAGTATAAACAAGCTATTCTGGCTGCTACTACTTTATCCCATACTGGCGACCAAACACTGCCCTAATGACTTCAAAAGGATAGCATTGGGCGAAGAAAGAAGCCTAGAAAGAGAAGTCAGGGTTTTTGCTTTCAATGAATTATCATATCACAGCTTCGCCAATATCTCTCAGAGGCGGTTCAGGGGAAGAGAGAAAGAGACAACCCCGAAGTACAGATTTGATCAGACACTCACAAAAAAGTAAAGCCGAACCCCATTAAAATCGAAGAACCCCCCACCACTTCGAGTCTTTCAAGACTCTCTCTCTCTCTCTCTCTCTCTCCTGCAACTGCAACTGAGAAAAGCAAGCAACAGCGGGGGGGCCAACCAAGATGAGATGAAACCCTAGCCACGTTCTCTTCTGCTACACGCACTTTCCAGCCCCATCCCTCCATCACCATCACGCCCAGAGACGAGAAAAGCAAAACGAATCCATCGGATCCGGAGGGAACCAGAGTTACCGTGTCCCCCTCAACAGGACATGACCCACCCCCCACCGAGTGAGGTCGGCTGGCTTTGCTTCTTCAACCCCCTTAACAGGAAAGTCACCGAATTGTGAGACTTCGAGATCACTTATGATTCTTCTTCCCCAACCAAAACGTTGGAAGACTTTGCTTAGCAGGAACAAGAAAGAAAAGCAAAACTTTAAATGTCCTATTCTACCTAAAATGGATGCCAGAACAGTACACTGCACTAACTGTTTGCCTAATCTCTTACAAGGAACAGCGAGAACTAAACCAACCCAGTTTGAAACAAGGAAGAAAAAGAATTCCCTCTTAGTGGAGCATGTTGAGCAACAAGAGATCACGACCTTAGATACTTCATAAAAAAGACAAAAAAATTAAAGAAAATAAACTCAATTATAAGGTGGCGGTGGCGGTTGCCTCGGAGCAGGAGCCCATATCACATCCGATGGCAAATGGCAACTATACACCGGCTCCGCCTGCGGCTGATGCCCCGGTCCGCTATCTCCGCCGCTCGACATCTGAGGAGACTGCCCCTCCCCGCCGCCGCTCCCCCCTTCCGACGCCGCCCTCCGCGCGTTCTCGGCCTCCTCCTCGCCGTCCGTCAGCCTGTGGAACGTCGGGCTGTTGAACGACGCCGCGACGACGAAGACCGGCCCGGCCGCGACGAGCGGGCCCGCGACGGACCCACCGACGATCTGGCCCTGGGGGCCGGCGAGGGAGATGGAGAAGACGTTGGGGGCAGCGGCGGCACGGGACGAAGCGGGCGGGCAGTGGGAGAAGAGGGTGGCCGAGATGGAGAGGATGTCGAAGCGGCCGCGGAAGGTGAGGGTGGCGCCGGAGGCCAGGGAGGAGGGGGGCTGGCGGAGGGTGAAGTTGGAGACGGAGCCGGAGGCGGAGAGGACGGAGAGGGAGAGGGACCGGCGGCGGCAGAAGCCGTGGAGGCACGCGACGACGTCGGACCCGCAGGGGACCTCGAGGATGTAGGGGCTGAGGGACGGCTCGGGGTCGCGGGTGATGATGACGGGGGGCTTGGGCTTGTTCTTGGACCCGAGGGGGCGGCCGCGGGGGCGGCGGACGACCTCGATGGAGGAGCCGTCGCCGGAGGGGGGATCGGCGGGGGGTTTCGCCTTGGGACCGGGGCTGGGCTCGTCGGGGGACGAAGGGGAGGGGCGGAAGTGGTGGAGGGAGAAGGGGTGGTGGAGCTTGGCGAAGAGGGTCGGTGGCGGGGTGGCTGCTTCGGGGCGGTCGGTGGTCGGGGATTCAAGGTACTCGCCTTTCATGGTGGCCGGCCGGACGGACGGACGGACTCTCTGCGTCGGCTTCAACGGCGGCGATGGGAGCAATGCGATGTCTTTCGGGGGGGAGGGGGGAGAAGAGAGAAAGAAAGAGAGGAGAGGGTGGTGGGTGAGCTTTGAAAGCAAGAAGTCAAGAACTCTCTCTCTCCCTATCTATCTCTCTGATGGCGCCGCTGGTCTTGGTCTTGGAGGTGAACAGTGTCGAGGGTGAACAGTGTCGAGGGCCCCACCGTCCTTGTCAGACTCACCTTCATCTTTTGCGTAACCGGTTGTTAAATCGACGCTTCTGAAGCAATCCCTTGCTGAAAATTTCAATAAGAATAAGCTAACAGCTGCGGCAATAGGGATTTTAGGGTTTTGACTTTGAGGAATGATTCGTACGGTCCAAAATCCTCATTCTTTGCACTTTGGTCTTGCCATACGAATTGGATTTAGGCAAACCCATCATCTACGGCGCGAAAATGAGGGGGAGATAGGAAAAGCTTCGATTCAACCTTAAACCGCCTTTTGCTGAGGAGAGAAAGATTTGCGACCCAAGGGATACTTTGATTGGGGTTGTCGGTTTTTTGGGCAAAGGGGGATTGTTTGGGCAATGTGAAAAAAGAGAGAGGAGATGAAAAAACCCAACTAGATGTGATTTGGTGGCGGGACCAAGCGGAAAAGGATCCTAAGATCGGACCTATTTTGTTGTTCAAGCTCCCCAGTCTTAAAGATTGTCTACATAATTTCTATAGGCCAAGTAGGCTTCAGCTGGGGTCACCTAGTCGGCCCGTAAGTTCGGGGCTAACTTATTGTCGAGCCCAGCAGAACCGGCATGGGGTCCTGTAGGTTCCGGGACGGGTATCGTGGATCGCAGGGTAGATTCCAAGTTTCAAAATATCGGAACCAATGAGTATATAGAAGGATTCAGGGTTTAAGGTCAGACCGACCGTGTATACCTTTTACCTTGTGCAGTGTACCTCGTAGAAACATACGGGGTACCCCGTATGATACTCAACTAAATCCAGATTAGATACGGAAATCCATAGGGATATTATGCATCGACTAAGGCCACCATGTCCTTTTATGGCAAGGAATGCCGGGCGGGTTAAACATATAAGCATGTGCATGAATGAGTGGCAGATATGAGAATGCTCTGTTGGATGCGCGAGGAGATGAGAAAAGACAAGATTGGAAATACAATACATCTGTTTGAGGAAAGGTTAGGTATTGCCTGAATCAAAGATGGAGTGAGAGGAAATTGCTTAACATGGTTTAGCCATGTTGAACAAAGAAATTAGGAGGAGACAATAAGTTATTGATTATTTAAAGTTTTACGGTAGGAACTAACAAAGGATCGAACGTAAGGGACATAACAAAATTCTTACGGCGGACCTCACTTGACAGAAAAAAAATATAATCTTTTATAGTTCTCCTATCGTTTGACTATGCATTCATATATAATTTATCTATATAGAGGCCGTGATATACATTAGGTAAACGCTTCCCCACTATCTAAATGGGATAAAATCAGACGGGATTTCTCCTATCAGCAGTCAAATAAATTTGAAAAACAGAAAAGGGGTCGAGTATACTAGAACGAGCATGCGAGATGAGGCAGACAGCCCCCTCGTATTCTAAGAGTCACGCAAGATGTATTAGAATACATTAGCCTGAACATCTTTCAAAATATGCAAGTATCGCCGATACTTTGGGCTTTTTTGTGTCCTGGACTATCGCGTGTCGAAAGAGAACAGGCGAGGGTGCTAAAAGGATGATTTCTCACGACTCTGATCAGCTCTTTCCCCTTTTCCATCTCATCGTTCGAGAGTCAATCCTGGCTTTTCTGATACAAATTTCAGAATCTGACCTCACTTGCTTTGACGGGAAGGCTTCCCCCCCTCTTCCATGTGCTGCAATGACGACGACGTTGTTCCTTCTTTCCTTATTCCCTCGTTCCTGAAGCCTCCGGTTTCAAACATCGCAATAATGTTGCTTGGCTCACACTTAAGTAAATTCGCGCACAATGTGTTGGGGGAGAAAGTCAAAGTTTGATCTGTAGCACCATGTCAAGTAGTTTTCTAAGCCAGTAACATGTCCGAGACAAGATTTCAATGGTGGACCCAGTTGGGGCCAAAGCATATTTGATTTGATATTTTGTGTAGAAAATAGCATGCATGCATGCAGTATCGTGGGGTCCTCCTACATAAATCTTATCCATATTCTTCATCCATGTTCCATGTTGAGTATATATATATATATATATATATATATATATATATATATATATATGTATACACAAATTGTATGTGTGTGTATGTTGACTTTAAAAGGACTAATCAAATTGTAATTTGTGGGTACTTTAGCAATATCCCTATAGAGTACTATATCGCCAAAAAGTGTCGACAAAGTACCTTTGCAATCATGGATCGATATGGAGGGTTCTTTGCTGATTCCCGGACAGAAAATGCAAATCGATGAGAAAATTAAAATTACTGAGATCGGAGACAATCGTGTCTAGCCATGTAAAAATGTACTGAAATGTAACGATAAACTGGAAGTGAAATTGAATATCTGATGTTCATTGATTGATCGGCAGTCCCTTGCACGAATTACGGTTCTAATACTTATAGCTACTACCGACAGTCAACAATGATTACAAAGAAATCAAATACATCTAATGTGACTTTTAGAATTCAGTAACTCATATTTACAAACAGTTAATCAACACCTAGACACAACTCTACTACTTGACGGTTACGCCTTCTCCACTTTTCGAGTCCAGCATTGTTGGTTACTTTTGAAGTCCCTCGTTCCACCACTCGACGGTTGCAAGAACCCACTCTTCTCGGCCTCTATCGTTAGTGGCTTCTGAGATCCATGGCATTCACTACCTGATGATTGCATCGGTTTCATTTCTTCATAACTATGTCGATGTGCCCTGGGGAATCGTGTTCGAAAATGTTAGCTGTATCACTTAGATAACTACCTTGCATCCAGCTCATCGTAGATTTCATTAGTTGTGACTTTTGTCGACTAAACTGGGCTTCTTTTACCGACGGCCATACTCTAGGACATGGTTATTCGCTGTTACATCTTTCATCGGCCAAAGTTGCTCACTTTGTCAACTAACTATACTTGATGATTAAGAACCTTCAACCCTCGGCAAATTTTATCTCTATTATATTTCGCTCGGTCTTTCTTAGCCCGAGTTGACGGTCAAAGATTTGGAAATTTTTTTTTTGGTTATACAACAAGTACATCAAGTAAATGAAGAGACGATCGATGCAACATCATCTTTACAAGTAAGTAATTAGAGCAAACCATCAAATTATATGAGTAAACATCACCATTTAATTAAATTATAGTATATTTGGAGTTGAGGTGCTCAATATGAAAATCAAAATTCTATTAAATATGATGGGAAAATTTCAAATAAGGGACTAAAGTGGACCTTGTTTTAATTTAGGACTCGAAGTGGCCAAATCATTTCAAATGAGGACTTTTGCCCGGCCGGCCAACATGCGACTATTCCGGCCATTGGAAAAGGGATATTTTAGTAAAAAAAATTCTAAGTATATATATATTTTAATTTTTTTGATTTTTTTACTTGCCATTCCATTCCTTTTCTTTTCTTTTCCTTTTTATTTTTTATTTTTCCCTCTTCCCTCCCTTAACCATCGCTGTGCCTCGTTGATGGCCGGTGGAGGTCGTTGGCTTCAGGTGAGGGCGTTCCTCGCTAGATCCAGTGAGCTTAAGGGTTACGTCGGCGAGGGCAACCCTCGCTTGAGTTCGGCGTCTTCCGCCGACCATTGATGAGGCCTGACAATTGTTGGCGGAGGAAAGAGGGAAAATAAAAAAGAAAAAGAAAAGGAATATAAAAAAAAACAGAAAAAGGAAAAAAAAAAGAAAAAAAGGAAAAAAATTCAAAAAAGTAAAGGACGAACATTTGGCTGGCGAGGTTAAGCCCTTATTTGAAACTGATATGGCCACTTCATGTCTTTATTTGAAATAAGGTTCACTTCATGCCTTTATTTGAGAAAACGATGACCCTTAAGACCTTTATTTAAAACAAAATCCGCTTCAGACCCTTATTTGAGAAAATGAGGGCACTTTAGACCCCACCCCATTTGGAATTTTTCCAAATATGGTGCAACAAAGTGTTACTCAGCAATAGCATGTGGGAACTATTGTTTTCTTTCCCAAGGACGCATGTGTTTTTGTTACTTCCTTTTTTTCTCCTCTTGCTTGAGGTGTGTCTTGAAGATTTATTGCTAACCAGTTATAGTATCTAAATAAATAAATAAACCTATACAGTAAACTTTAACCGAACGAGAAAATCAAATCTCATAGCCAAAATGTAAATTCGTGAAGGAGAAGAGTTATGAATGCGGTTGATCTGTGACTCCTTTGGTAAGATAAAAGTGAGGGGAAATAGCTCAAACCTTCCCTAAACTTTGAAGCAGTGCCAATTTGTCTCCACATTTTTATTTTTTTTGCTAAAATGTCTACGGTTTTAATTGTTATACATTGTTGAGATACATGTATGAGTTGTGTTAGAGAAATCCAACATTAGAGAATTGGTGTGGTGTGAAGCCTTTAATATATCTATCTAATTGGCTCATAACTCATTGTCTTAAATTTTTTAGTGAAGGTGAGTCCGATTGGATATGTTAACGAGCTAAAACTTGGGTTCCCTTTTGGCGGTCTCCCTTGGTAAAGGTATCGGGCTTTTGCTGCGACCTCCTAACAAATGGTATCAGAGCTGATAGTTGATTGGTGCTCTACCCTTGATCTGTTTTGATGTTTGGTTAATATCTCAAGAAAGAAATCCATGATCGACGCTTGTTCCGGGTAGAAATTGCCATCATGGTTGATCTGTACGAGAAGAGACCGTGCACAATTGGTCTGGTGATGAAAGATAGAGACCATGGTGATGCAATCCCAAGTTAGTAGTTAATGATGGTTGTGCAAAGTTGCGGGTGCATTGCAATGATGAATAGATTCAACTTGAGATAAGTTGATATAGAATTATACCTAAATTAAGGGGGAGCATACTAAGTAACACTGAGCTCACACGTGATGGGGAAATTGTTGAGATACATATGTGGGTTGTATTAGAGAAGTCTTAT